GGTGGTAATTTCGTCTCCTCTAGGGAGTTCCGACCACTGTCTGGTGAAGTCCGTATCAGTCTACTCTCCAAGCGACCCGGAACCTATCGGAACTAGGCGTGTTTGGCGATATGGTTCAGCAGACTGGGATGAGATGCGGCATTTCTTTGCATCTTATCCTTGGCGTCGCACCTGCTTTTCTTCGGACGACCCGACTTGCTGCGCGGATGCCATTGCTGACGTGGTGCGTCAGGCTATGGAGTACTTTATTCCATATTCTGACGTACCACGCCGGTTTAGCGCCCGCCCTTGGTTTGATGCGGACTGTGCTGAAGCGGAGGCGCTTAAGCATTTTGCGTATCGCTCCTGGGCGGATGCTCGAGCCCGCAAATCACCAAATGTTCGAAGTCTGAAGAAGGCCTTTAACAGTGCCGCCAAGTCCTGTAAAGGTGTTCTCCGCAAGGCCCGCTTCGATCACATTGGCCGTATAGGAGCCAAATTAGCCTCCTTTCCATCCGGAAGCAAGGCTTTCTGGTCCCTAGCCAAAACAGTCGAAGCCAATTTTTGCCGGTCGTCGCTGCCGCCTTTAATTAAACCTGACGGATCGCTGGCTCACACCTCCAAAGAGAAGGCTGACTTGTTTGCCTCTATATTTGCGAATAACTCACAGCTAGATGCTGCTGGCGTAAACCCACCTAAGCTTCCTCAGTGTTCTTCTGCCATGTTGGAAGTTCGCATCCATCAGAAAGAGGTACTAAAAACGCTAAGCACTCTAGACGTGAATAAAGCCAGTGGGCCCGATGGCATTCCAGCTATTGTCCTGCGGAATTGTGCCCCTGAGTTGTCTCCTATTCTGACTCGCCTATATCGCTTATCCCTTGAGATTGGCCAAGTTCCGAAAACCTGGAAGCTTGCCAATGTCCAACCAGTGCCCAAAAAGGGTAGTCGTGCCGACCCTGCCAACTATCGACCTATTGCAATCACCTCCATACTCTGTAAGATTATGGAGCGTGTATTGAACAACCGTCTCCTCGCTTACCTCGAAGATAACGATCTCCTCAGTGACTGCCAATTCGGTTTCCGCCGTGGGCGATCTACTGGGGATCTTCTTGTGTATGCTACCCACTTATGGAGTGAAGCCATAGAGAAACGCGGCGAAGCTCTCGCCGTTTCTCTTGATATTTCTAAGGCTTTTGACAGGGTCTGGCATGCAAGTCTCATTGGCAAGCTTCCTTCATATGGAATCGCTGTCGGACTTTGCAACTGGATTGCAGATTTTCTGAGGGGCAGATCGATACGAGTGGTCATTAATGGCACATCGTCGGATCTGCTTGGTATTAATGCCGGTGTCCCCCAGGGATCTGTCCTCTCCGCAACTCTATTCTTGCTGCACATCAATGATCTGCTCCTAACTCCTGGTATCTTTGGGTATGCAGATGACAGCACAGTTTCGGGGAGATATCTGCCTGATGTAAAGTCTAATGCAGATGTCCGATCATTAAGGGAGGCGATGGTGGAGGGAGTGAATGCAACCCTGGAAGCTGTTTCCCTCTGGGGTGAAGCCAACTTGGTTGGATTCAATCCCTCTAAAACACAGGCCTGTCTCTTCTCGACGAAACGGAGTCCATTCCATCTGACTCCGACTTTCCGAAATGTCTCCGTGCCGGTTAAAGACCATCTCGAGCTCTTGGGTATGGACATCTCATCCAGCCTCAATTTCGGTCCCTACATCGAGTCCATTGCTAAAACCGCTGCCAGAAAACTTGGAATACTTTCTAAGGTCAGGCGATATTTTACATCTGAGCAGCTCCTTAACCTTTACCGAGCCCAAGTTCGCTCCTGCTTGGAGTACTGTTGTCACCTTTGGGACGGATCTGCTCGGTATCAGCTGGATGCACTGGACTCGGTGGAACACCGTGCGAAGAGACTCATAGGCAATGACGCTCTCGTTGAGGCTAATCTTCAGAGCCTCGACCACCGAAGACGTGTAGCTTGCCTTTCGGTGTTTTATAGGTTACATTTCGGAGAGTGTGCGGAGGTATTACATAATTTGATCCCCCCTTCCCCTTTCCACCACCGGACGACCAGGCGCGGCGAGGGCTTCCACCCTTATGTTGTCGAAGTTCCTCCTATTCGCACGAAGCGATTTGCTTCGGCCTTCATTATACGAACGGCTAGGGAGTGGAACTCCTTGCCGAGGTCTGTTTTCCCGGACCAATATAACCTGGACATCTTCAAGGCCAGAGTGAACAGGCATCTTCTAGGCAGGCGTGTACCATCCTAGGCCTCATCATCGCTTTCCATCAGGTGAGATTGTGGTCAAACGCATTGCCTATTTAGCATAAAAAAAAAAAAAAAAAAAAAAAAAAAAAAAAAAAAGGTTACAGCGGCGCGCAATCCGCATCATAGGCGATGAGGAGGTGCCTAAACACCTCGAGCCTCTTCAATTACGCCATGACGTGGCGTCACTAAGCGCGTTCTATCGTCTGTACCACGGTGAGTGTTCTGAGGAGTTATTCTCTCTTATTCCACCTTCCCCTTTCCTTCAGAGGACCACGCGCGCTGGCTTACGTTGTCACCGTCTAATTGTGGCTACAATTCCAACGCGTACAAAGAAATTTGGTGACTCATTTCTTTGTCGTACTATCCGTAAATGGAATTCTCTGCCCGCTCACGTGTTCCCTCCCTCTTACAACCTGGGATCCTTTAAAAGAGGCGTGAAGAAGCAACTTGCAGGCCGGCAGGGTGAGGATGGCTGGTGTGGCAGTTAGAACTGCTGTATCAGCTATCTTCGCGTCTGGACTTCACCTTCACTTAACATCAGGTGGGGTGGAGTCATTTGTCGGATCTATCTATAAAAAAAAAAAAAGCCAAGAAGCTCATCGCTAGGCAACCTTGTTTGCCCTTAGTCCACTAGTGAGTTAGAGGCTCACATTCATAACCCACCTACAACAAGAAAGCAAGAACATATTTGCTCACCTACCTGGAAAAAAGGAGCCACTTTAAGAAATTCAAAGAAGAAAAAATATCTAATACGCTTTCACCTGAATCTGTGCCAACATCAAACAGATATGGTCAATTACTTGTAGACCAAATTAATTCAAAAGACAAACTTAAGGAACGAAGGGTCAGCAAACTGCCTCCAATAATATTATACGGAATTGAGAATATCAACAAACTAATAGCGCTCCTAATAGAAACCGTAAAAAGGGATCAGTTTACATACAAAATGATAAACAAGAGCCAACTACGTATAAATTGCGAAAGTGTAGAAAGAAACACATAAAACCATTATTACAGTAGTGAGAGAAAACGGTCTAATCGGCCATACATTCAATAGGAAGGACAGCAGACACTTCAGGCTAGTAATTCGAAATCTACATAACGCAGCACCACATGAAGCGATCAGAGAAGCCTTTGAGAAGACTGAAAATCAAAAAGAGGGAGACGTTAAAAGCGCGAGATCTGGTCTGGAAATGCGACCAACTTCAACCTACTTTGATAATCTTGTAGCAGGACCCAACAACAAAGCTGCAACAAACAAAGACGTTAAGTACATTTATCATCACAGGGTTATAATAGAAGATCCTTGAAAAAGCAAGGTAATAGTTCAATGCCAACGCTGCCAACAATATGGCCACTCGAAAAACTACGTAAAATGTGGACAATCGCATAAGACAAGTGACTGCAGCAAAACGGATCGATCTACTCCAGTGACATGTGCTCTCTGCCAAGCCCTGCAAACTATAAAGGATGTGAAGTCCACAAAGAGATCCTTGAAAGAAAGAAACGCAAGCAGACTAAAACAACGGCCACTCCGAATGTAAATTTAGCACAATATGAGAGGGATGTAGGTGGAAACTCTTTACTTCCAATTCATACAGAAGTCGAAATCCTATTGCATTTACACAATCTTGACATTCTGCTTATATCGGAAACTCATTTTATTGCCAACAGTTCAATTAAAATAAAAAGCTTCTCTATATTTATTACCAATCACCCTGCTGGTTGGGCCACCCATGGCGGAACCACCGTTATTGTGAAATCCTCAATAAAACACCATGAATCCCTTTACTTTAAAACTGAAGCCATTCAGGCCACAACGTTAACAGTCCAAGATAAGCAAGGGAACATTATTATTTCTTCAGTTTACTGCCCTCCAAAACATAACATAAACGTAACCCAGTTCATATCTAGAATCTTTGGGTACTAGATTCATAGATGGTGGAGATTGGAACTCGGACAAAAGGTTTCTCACGATTAATTTTCAAAAAAAAACGTGATTAGATGCCATTCATACCCCAATTACTAAACCGAAAAAATTACGGCTCATAAACTTTATAATAAATACACAGACTGGCATGCATTTTGAGAAATATTACAGGCGAGTTAGATCTAAAAATCCCAAAGACATTGAAAATGCTACTCTCTACTAAAATACATCATGGGCTAGTACTCCAGAACTGAAGTCATTTTTTATAGACACAAAATAGTTCCCATAGATATACGTAAAAATACGGGAAAAAAAAGAGGTTCGTCGAGTATGGTATGTAAGCAGGCCCTCTTCAGATAAACTGCATTCAACAGGGCACCATAAGAACTTCACCAATTGCTCCAAGAAACAGAGAATGCCACCACGCAAGCACAAATCGAAAACATAACTTAACGTAAAACTCCAATAGTGTCTAAACCTCTAATTCGCTTACGAGAAAATAAATGGGTTCGTACTCCCTAAGAAAAAGCGAATGCGTTTGCAAATTATTTAGCATCAGTATTTAAACCCAATGAAGGAAGGTGATATAGATTACTCTAATTGGAATACAGTCCTACAACAATATTTCCAACTTGATTTACCAATACGGTCTACAACACCAAAAGAAATTATTACTCTAGATTCGATCCCCAAGTTAGAAGAAATTTTCTCAAACAAGCGCTCTAATTTGACCGTTTTATCAACTGTGCCCTATTTCCCATAAAACTAACATTTTCAATTAGGAAATACTTATTCGATAAATTTTCAGAAACAGCTATGGGCACTCGATTTTCGGAGGAGATGGCCGATAAAGGAGAGTCATATAAAGCTGCAATCCACAGTATAGGAAAAGGTTTAGTGCAAAGAGTTACTAGGATTATGTTATTCTCTGATTTAATATTCAACCTATCAGCTTTTGGAAGGGAACAAATTAAATCAATACAAATAGTTCAAAATTTTACGAAAAAAGTAATTAAAGACAGAAAAGCAAACATAGAACAATACGGTGCGGAAAATCTGGATGATATGGATAATAATGAGTATAATATGAATAATAAAAGGAAAAGAACAGCCATGTTAGATTTGCTTATTCAGGCGCAAAAGGTCAACCTTATTGACGATCAGGGTATACAAGAGGAAGTGGATACCTTTATGTTTGAAGTGAGTAGTCATATTATTTTTAATGACACGATTTAGGCATTAAACTTTTATTTCTGTTTCACATTAAAGTTTATTTTAAGCATGCTGTCCACTCCATTTTACATTTACCCCTTAGTCGATGAAAAGTTGACATAATATATAAAATATGTACGAGTAATTTTTTCCAAACTTATTTTAATTATAAATAAAGGGTTAATAAAGGGTTTCACCAGTTCTTGATAAAAAGTTATACTTATTTACCTATATATAATCTAATATATATAAAATAATGATGATCGATTCAAGCTTGTATGAGTATTTGATTGATTTGATTATGTAATGTAAAGTGCAATTCGATTCGGATTTAGATTCTGATTTGAAAATTCAAGCTAAACTTTAATATTGTAGGTATTTTAAATTTATACAATGGTACGAAAGGTCAATTAGTCTTTAATTTAAAATTTTTAGAGACACTAACATTCGCTCAATCACTAAAAAATCAAGAAAAGTGAAAGTGATATCCATCACTTAAATCAATAATTTTCTTCTAAAAGTTTCTAGTAGTTTCTAATATACCAGAAAGAAATGTGACAGTTGTACCAAAACTCGTGTAAAGAAACACCCTACAAAGGAGCACATTTTATCAGACTTGCTTTTGCCCGCGGCTTCGCTCGTTATTTTTAGGGATTTACCGGCAATTATTCGAATTTTTCTTAACTTTTAAACCTTCCCTAGGCCTCCACGAACATTTCAAGACCAAGCTAAGATAAATCCGTTCAGCCGTTCTCGAGTTTTAGCGAGACTAACGAATAGCAATTGATTTTTATATATATGTTACGGCTAATAGCCGAAGTACGGCTACACCTAGTTTTAGCCGGCTACAACTAGGAGCAGCCTGCCACATGCGGTTAAACTTAAGTGTATCCTACTTATCTTCGGTTACAACTAGATTTAGCCTTTATTATAGCGGCTAAAACTAGGTACAGCCACACACCGGTGGTTAAACTTAGGTGTACCCTATTCAGCTAGAACTAGGTTTTCAGTTCAGTTGTATTGAGATTCTAATTTTGCGTTTCCCGATTGATTCGATTACATGGAATAAATAAAAGACAGGGATGTTTAAGTGACATTTATTTTTTATTATTTGACAGGCAAATATCTTTAAACAAAAAAAGGCGTTATTATAAGTACTTAAAACAGAAAATATTATAAATCTTCTTAAACTAACAGAACTAGACATAACAAAATGAATATAAAAAATAAAGTTTTACTTCTTAACTATGAAAACATCAACTAAGTCTTTGTTCTCTTCTCTCATATTTTTATGTTAAAACAAATAGGATAAGTTTTTTACTCAGTTTTAATTATACAAAAATCAACAAACTCTCATAAATGGTAGTATGTTGCAAGAATGTCTATCACTTATTTGAACAAGATAAACTTGAATGGCATTTCGAGTTACACAAAATACCGGCTGCTTTACAGAGGCACTTTCTATTACCACATAGTTTTGCAGTGGCATCTTTTATATCCTTGTCCTCCAGTTGTAGATTGGGTATTAGCAATTTGGCGTAATGATTTTTTTTCGGGAGAAACAATATCAATATCTAAAAATTTCGTCTCGCATACAGTGAATTGATTCCTAGAAAAAAAATCAGTAATAGTGCCAAATTGGTCACCCAATTTATACAATCCATCATCATTACATTCAAGTACCATCAAAACATTAGGAAAATCGCCTCTACCTCTGTCTACGTCAGGAATTTTCACCCGAACTGTGTCACCTATTTTGCACGGAGGAAACTTTCTGTTAGATAATGCTCAATGTCATTTTATTTGCTTGTACTCTCAAAGAATCATTTGCGCCTTTTCTATTAGTATCTATTGTCTGTCGTTTAATGCAGAGGTCACATTTTTTTCATCGTCGTCACATTTAGTTCTAGCCGATAATAAATAGGATGCACCACCACTAAGTTTAACCATCAGTGTGCGGCTGTACCTAGTTCTAGCCGCTATAATGAAGGCTAAACCTAGTTGTAACCGAAGTAAGTAGGATACACCTAAGTTTAACCGCAAGTGGCGGGCTGCACCTAGTTGTAGCCGGCTAAAACTAGGTGTAGCCGCACTTCGGCTATTAGCCGTAACATATATAGATACAATTATGATTCAATTTTAAAATAATTAGTTCAGCATTTCCATCTTATTTGTTCCCAGTTCAGCATTTGAGATATTAGATTATAATAAAATAGTCTGAATTTTTCACCAGGGACATGATACCACAGCATGTGGCCTTATGTATTGCTTGATGTTGCTGGCCAACCATAAAGATATTCAAGTGAGTCAACAACATTTATTATTTACTGTTTATTATATTTAATATGAAGTGATACAAAGTTTTCGGCTCGTCTTAAGTTCTTGTCTGAATACTGGTAGGAGTTAGAGCTGAGGCTGATTTGAATCATTCGATTTAAATGTAACGTATTCCTATACCTTGAATGATTCCTATAAATCATTTGAACTGCTAGCGTGAAATATAAACGGTAACCATGCATAACACTAATTTATTATTTTTTATGTCCCAACACTAGTATGGCAGGAAGTACAAATAAGAGACTGACCGCGATATTGTTAATTAATATTGAAAATGAATGCGCAGTTTTTTTATGTTAAAGGGCGGCAAACCAAACCAAACCCTACCGATGGTAAGCGGCCACCATAGCCTTTAGGCGTTTGCGATACCAAAAATGTCACTTGCACCATTGCCTACCCTGACCCTATCCCCTGCCCCGTGGAGCACTGGATCATTACTTACCGACAGAAATACAACATCACCAGAGGGTAGTGTCAATTTACTGTAGAGGTAACTTCCCAGACGGGCGCTCCACTTCGAGCGGAAAATCTGATATAGGAGAGGTAGGACCCTCTCATAACATGTACGTTATGAGAGGGCTCTACCATAACACATTATTGTGCCTTCTTTAAAATTTGTTTCATTAGTTTTCTAGCTTTCGTCCCCTGTTTTAACGCATCGGCGAATGAAGTTCCCAAAAATACTACACCTTCCAATATTTCAGGGTAAACATAAGCTTAAATATAGCAACTCTCATAACTCTTCAAATAATAAATTTTCTTTACAACATTTCAACCGCCAAGGGAGGTTTTGTACAAATCTTAAAACTGATCACTTTCATCTGTAATCTTTAGCCTGTAACAAGATTAAATTCGTCTACCTCCATAAATTCCGAGCCATGAGAAGTAATTAACTACTAGATTTTTATTCCAGGACAAGATATTTGAAGAGTTGTTTACTATTTTCGGCAATTCGGATATTAGTGCGAGCTACGATGATTTGTCCAAGATGCGCTACCTCGAATGCTGCATCAAAGAGTCCCTACGACTCTACCCACCCGTGCCTTTCATCAGTCGCCAGCTCACTGAATCCACCGATTTAGGTAAGTATTATTTTATGTCTGTGTGAAGTAATACTTATTAAGCACAACATTGTCTAATAGAAAGGTTTAAATTAAAGGTTCTATTTGGTACTTGAAATCCTCCCACGATAAATTATTAAATATTGAACGAAAGCTTATGCTCAGAGGATATTTATACTGTTTTTAAACTCGGAATCATTTGAGTAATTATAAAAAGTGTATGCAATAAATCTAACCTTTAACTCAAGTGTTCTCTATTAACTAATGTAAAAAATACGTATTATTATAAATATTTCATTATTAGTCAGAAACAAGATCAAAAACATTATCTATGATCAAAAACTAACTTGCGTGTTCTATTATCATTATTTTATAAAAAAAAAACAGTCGTAGGCTGAACCATGGCTGAACTAAATCGAACCCTATATCGATGAGGATGCATGAGCATGCTAACATAGAATAATAACGCTCTGTTACACCATTTGATGATTGTCAAAATGAGGCCATAATTAACAGTGACAATAACTATAAGCGAGACCGGTTAAAGTTATAGTAAATTTTAACTTTAACTGGCTCTGTGGTACTCACCCTAAAACTGCAAATATACTAATCTGTCGTGTTGTGTCGTGACGTGTCAGAGAGGTGTCGGTTTCATACATTTAGTACGGTTAGAATTATATTTCTTTGTCGCGATGTGTCGACAATGGACTCGCTCTAATCATTTGAGTATGAGACCGATACATCTCTGATGCATCACGACACGACACAACACTACAGATTAGTATATTTGCGGCTTAAGAGTTAGTCTTATTTTTAGGCGGATACAAGATACCCAGTGATGTATTTTGCCACATTCACATCTACGATCTACATCGTCGAGAAGAGTTGTTTCCCGACCCGCTGAAGTTCGACCCCGACCGCTTCTTGCCAGAGAACTGCATTGGACGCCACCCTTATGCTTACATTCCATTTAGCGCTGGACCACGGAACTGTATAGGTGATATTTATAACTAATTGTCATTTAATATTTTTATACTAAGCATTTAACTGCTGAAACATGTAAAACTGTTAAATATGTATAAAGAAAATTTTACTAGAAAAAAATATACTTGATTCAGGTTTCAGAGTGGAATTTTTATAGTAGTATAATATTTTCTTTAACTATTGTCATGTTTTTGTCAAAAGCATTAATCTAGCACACAACTAATTCCATTTTTTTATCATGAACAACACAGCCATTCAATAAATACATTAACTTATACATATATTTTACATCCTAAAATCTTTATATATATAATAAATTTCCTATCGTATATACATCGGCTACCTCACACGGAGGGAAAGTATATTAAATATTGAAAATAGGATATTTTACTGAAAGAAGACATCATTTTATTTTTAATAATAACTGGAACTGCATTCACAGATTTTAAAAAAACGCCTGCTACATCTGGGTATCGAACTCGTGAAATTTCGAAAAAAATACAACGTTTTTTATGATAACCATCGAAAGGGTTAATTATAAGGATTATTTTCTTCTAAATAACATAGCATTTTAAATGAAAGGAATGTCTTATTACGTGATAAAAATAATAAAGTGATATACAAACTGTAGTATATGCATGGTTTTGATATGCGCTTACAGAAACCACAGCAGCGGATGATAAACGTCAACGATGATGAACTCAACTTATGTTAAATAATTTTAAATAAAATGTTAAATTTATTTACTTTTCTTTCATTCAAAATGCTATGTTATTTAGCAAAAAATAATCCTTATGATTAAACCCTTTCGATGGTTACCATATGTTGTGTTTTTTTTTCGAAATTTCACGAGTTTGAGTCCCAGTTGTAGCAAGCGATTTAAAAAAATCTGTAAATGCAGTTCTAGTTATTATTAAAAATAAAATGATGTCTTCTTTCAGTAAAATATCCTATCTTCGATATTTAATATACTTTCTCTCCGTGTGTGGTGTGAGTGTGAGGTAGCCGTGGGACGCTCTGATAATATGTATATATATAACATACAAACGGAAGGCCAATAAGGATAAGGTTAACCTGATGGTAAGCGGTTAACCGTGGCCTATGGACCTCTGCAACACCAAGAGTCTTACACTCGCAATGCTGCCATAAAACCTTCTTTACCGCCTCTTAATTTAAAAATTCCTAAAAGTGAATAATACTATCTATAGCTATTTGGTTGACAGTAAAAAAATGTTTTTGCAGGACAAAAATTTGCTATGATGGAGATGAAATCAGCTATATCAGCTATTTTGCGGCGCTTCGAGATATACCCGGTCACAAGGCCTTGGGATTTGCGCATAGCGGCTGATTTGGTGCTGAGAAGTACCGAACCGATTTACGTTATTTTCGAAAAACGAAACACTCTGTCCAGTAAATAATACTTAGTCTCAACGAACTTAATAAATAGATACTTTCCCACAGTTTTCAAAAGGTGAAGGGTTAAAATGGCGTATTCGAAAACCGTTCATGTCATGATCCATTCAATTCCGCTGAGTTTCATCAATTCGCATATGAATAGGGGAATCAAGCAAAGTACTTCCAGTCCCTATTTACCAAGATCTAATGGGTTAGCAGAATCAGGCGTAAAGGTATGTAACCGCATATTAATGAAGTGCGAATAAACTAATGTAGACCCGTATCTGACTCTATTACAATACCATAATACGCCTAGGGGGAACTTAGCTTCTTCAGCGCAGTTGCTAATGTCATGAGTTCTGAGGACACAATTGCCAACGAGAACAGAAAAGCTTCATCCTTAAGTTGTGCGATTTGCAAATCACTTGGAAACGAAAAGGAAGAATAATTGGATGCCTGGGAAAATAACAAGTATATCTGAAGAACCTCGATCTTTTGAGATAGAAGAAAAAGATGATTCGTCGTTGAGAAGAAACAGACAACATATTATTTCTCTTCCATCATCAAGTTTAGCTTCAACGTCAGGTCCTATGTTTCAGATAGTTGTTGAAGAAGTCAATGATGTACCGGTTTAGAGTACTAGTAGTCATACGTGTACTGGGAGTGGTAGGATTGTTAGGCGACCACAAAGACTTAATTTATAGACTTGACCTAATGCTCTCCTATACGTAAAATAACTTATTATTTCAGTTAGTACAGTCGGTGATAAAATACATTTTATTTATTAATTTACATTCTTATAAATAAGTCTTATGTCTGTCGTTCTTAGTCTATACTGGTCAATACATCGATATTATAAAATTGCTGACCCAAACAGTCGTTTTATTTATAATTATATATTATGTTGTCCTTCAAAGGAGTTAAGTATTATGTCATTAATGACTGCTGCTTAGTCGTTCTTTGGGGTAAGTATAGCTCTTTCTCATAACCACTCTATTGATTTTTCCAAGATGAGCGCAACGTATGGATAATTTTTCGAAATCAGATTTTCAACTGGTTATTACTGAAGTGCACAGATCGGAAAGGACAAATATCATGCTATCATCTTTTTCTGGGTAATCACCGTTACCCAGTTTTAGCAAAAGATACGAAAATTGGCAATCGGAATCGGATTTTTGGTTAATTTTAAAATTTTAACTGAGGGCCACATTGATGATTTTTTATAACACGCTTTTATCTCATCACATGTTCCTCTTGGAACTACTGATGGAGTTTGACGAAAGTTTCCTGCCAGCAATACAGTCAAACCACCCATTAAACTTTTGTTTGCTGCGTATGTCTTGCAGAGTCCTATTCAAATCTTTTATTCCCATTTTTATGGGCCATAGTACTTTCATCCCAGATAATAATTTTAGTTTTTCTCAATACTTCTGAAAATTTGCTCAGTTTTGAAATATTACATAATAGAGTTTCATATTTTTTAGGTTCAGTGGCAATTTTAAGGCAGAGTTTGCGGTCCGACCGCCTTGCAAAAGTGTTTCGGCAATTCCTAAAGAAGCCACAGCTAATACAATATCACGTATGACTCTTATTTTTCCCAAAATCAAATTAAATAACAACGTTTTGCCGGTTCCTCCAGTAGCGTCAAAAAGAAAATTTGGCCATCACTTGCATTCGCACTACTTACTATTTGTTCGTATACTGACTTTTGTTCTTCTGTTAATAAATCATAGTTATTCCTGACGGGTTAGTCAGGAACAACTATGATCTAAAGCTATCACATTATAGCTAGTTTATTAAATTAATCGCTTTAGACCTGCTTGATTGTTTAAAGCCGACTCCTTTTAGGGAAAGCCCGCCATAATTATAGCCTCTTTTAATTAAAAGAGGCTTCTTCAATTTCTTTCAGACATTTGTTCAACACTTCATCTGTTAAATAGTCTATGTCACCTTCTACCTGCATTTCGAATTGTCGTTTATATTCATGTTATCACAGACTTAATGGGTCGGACACTTAGCAAAACACTAATATGATAGTAAAAATAACGTAAATTTAAAAAAATAAAAAACTCGACTGCTTTAACCCACGATATTAAATCCCTTAACGAGTGACAAGTAAAAAGTTTGTAATAAAAAACGTTAATTTAAAAAATCAAAAAGCCCGACTGCTTTACATTACTGCAAATAAAAACTGAAATATAAAAGAAAACAAGTGCAGCAGTCTATAATTCTGTTAAGTAAGGGATAAAGTTACTTTAACAGTCGGGACCCATTAGATATTCAAGAATGGATCAAATTTTTCAATAATGTGTTATTGAAAAATTTGATCCATTCTTAGGTAAGGAAGACTGATAGGGTGTAGTGTACTAAATCATTTACTGTTTTAACGTTTCAAATGACTTGGGACCTCGAATTTCATAGGGTAGCATTCGAAAAGAACTGGATTATGTGGAACCAGCTTTGTAAAAGTAAAGCCACTGGAGAACGTCTTCTATATTGCGGGTAGCCGTCCGTCGTCCCCGGTTTGTGTTTCACTAAGTAGTGTTGCCCAAATTCAGTCTTGGTCTTGCAGTCTAGGTCTTGTTCTTGCATTTTTGCAAGACCAAGACCAAGAACAAGACCGCGTATTTTTAGCAAGACCAAGACCAAGACTGACCGTGCAAGACTTGAGTAAGAACAAGACTAATCCGGCAAGACTCTTGCGTCTTGCAGCTAGGACTTGCGCTATTTCACGGAGTAGTTAGGTACAGTCGCGGAGTAAGCCCGTCAGAGGCCCGGGGCGGAAAAGCTGAATGAGGCCCCCAGCTTTAAAAAAAATGTAGTTTCTTATGTTTATTTCGTGAAATCTGGCAAGTGAAATTTAAATTCGAATTAAATTATTTCGACTAAATAAACATACATACCTAGAATATGGAATGGATATGGGTGAGAAAATAATATACGAATTAAACGACTAAAAAAATAGAATCAAAGATAGCTTTTTTTTTATTTTTTATAGCGTGTTATATGTGTTTTCGTGCCTTTAATTTACTGAACTTCAGAATAACTTCTGTGAAATCAATTTCTTTGGAAGTTTTTTTTTCTATTGAAAGCACGGCTAGATTAACCAGTCGCTATTGACCCATTGTAGATCGAAGATCGTGTTTAAGTTTCGAAAAACTCCTCTCGCATGGTGCAACCGAGATGCAAATAGTTAAGAAGTATTGAAGTATAAGCGATATACAAGGTAACGATTCACTGAAGTACCATTTTATTATAAATTGAAGGATTTCTAGGGCTCTTCAATTGGCAGCAACGTCCATACTCGTATCGGCTTTTACATGCCTGCGGTGCCTTTTTATTTTTGGGAAACTTGCTCCTTGTCAAATTCACCATAACTTTTGTATCAGATTGTCAACTGCTACAGCCAGAGCGGCTGAAGCTTTGTTTCAATAATTTGGAAAATATTGATTTGTTTCATGGCCCCGTATCGTGTCAACAATTCTTGTACGAATCGGTCTATGTATTCATATGTACATTGATCGACGTATTTTTTCTTGAATTGATAATCCAGCATCATGAGCTGATTCACCCGGCATCGTTCTTTTTACCTTCCTTCTTCCTTGTTTCTCGATGTTCGTTCGGTCACTAAATACTCATTCAAGGCGTTTAGTGTGGTGTTTCCTGAATCCAGAGTAATTTTTGAGACTGCAAATATTGTTGAACTAAATTTGCTTCCTCCAGTATAGAAAGCCAGAATTGTATATATGTTAGAAGGGTAAAATTATAAACAGCCGGCAGGAGCTGGCTTGCTCCTGATCTTATACCTCGATTTGCTTTTGTTGGATCTTGAAAATTTTCCAAACTATTCATAATTATCTCTATGTTTTCTTTTACAACTTTTAGTGACTTGTAATGAGTGCTCCAGCGAGTATCCGATAAACGTTTTAAAAAAAATCCAGTTTTCTTTTTCAGCAATTGACATTTCCGTGTAGGTGACGAAAAGAACGAATATAATTTCTCTGCTGTTCCAAAACACGTGACGCTGGAAGAAACGCATGTAAATGCATGAACTCCACAAAGATTCAAGGAATGATTAGACCAAGGACTGAACAGTGTCTTCGGATTTACTTCTTGGATTTTTCGTTGCACTTCATTCTTTCAGGGAATCCTGAGGAAGTATCTGCTTCAAAGGCGGGGCGGGAATTACCCCAGCGTATTGGACGCATTCAGAAAAGTTAAAAGAATATTAGTACGGCGTAAAAAGTTTAGATGTCTGTAGTGTTTTGATCTTGATGAAATTATGTAGGTAATAAGCACATTTTTAAAGTCTTGTAAGTATTTGCTCAGTGTAAACGATTTGATCAGGGGAACGCGAAGGCATTTGGGGGCCCCCCAAGATCGGAGCCCCGGGGCGGGCCGCCCCTCCCGCCCCCATGTTAGTCCGCCACTGGTTAGGTATAACAGTTTGGTGTATAGGTACGCTTAGGAATTCTATGAGACGCAAAAAACTGATTCAAAGAATCAAACTAGTTTTTACGGGTTAATGCACGAAAACTTTATTTATTTATTGACGTTTCGTTATTGACTGACATATACAGTAATTCTTGGCGTAATTTATACTTTATTTTACAGTCATTAGATTTTAACGGCCACCTTTAAATAATATATTAATTTTAAAAAAGGACTTCTATTTTTACCGGTTTGGAAAACATACGAATCATTTTTATTGGCTATGGGTGTAGTAACATTCACAAAGACTGATCGAGGTTGTTTATATAACATCAAAACAAATCTATTTTGTAAAGATTGATAATTTTTTTTTTATTACACTGTGGTATTAATATCCACAACTTTATTATCATTTTTACTACATGCAAATGTGCTAAGACAATTAATATAGATGGTAGGCGACATCATAAAGTCTATTGCCGTACATTTTTCGCCAAACACCTAAATAAAGACATTATAAGGTGTGATACACTAAAAATCTAAAATATGGTTATAATAAAAACATAACAAAAATAATGAAGCTACTGAAGATATGGCTGTATAACCTACAGCTCTTAGCTTTCTTTGATTAACGAGAGTTTAAAAATTCTCTCTAATCTGTGGCTCATTCACAATCATCACACAGTTTCTGTTCGTGTTTGTGATCTTGTTCTTTCTCTGCTTATCAACGGTTTTCATTGTGATTTCGAATTTTTAACTTTACTCGGCTTTTCCAACGGACTTGATATATAGTATTAAAATAGATGATATGTAATATTAAACGCAACATAAAAGTACTTAAGTTGTTTTATTTCATTAATTTACCTTATCAGAATATTTAAGCTATGTCAGGAATATACATGTTTCACACATTGATCAGAACTAGCATTAATCTGCGCAATACATTATTACATTAGAATTACCTTTTACCATTATAAACCTAATTATTACTAAGAAAATATCCTATTGTTTTTTTATAAAATTATGATAACAGTTCCATGTTTCTCATAACATAGGTAAGCAGGTACCAGTTCCTTGACATGCATTTTGTTAGTGTAATTAGTGTTAGACACTTGTCAAATGAAACAAGATTGCTTCTGAAAGTCGCAATGGCATAATCATGATTTTAAAACTTACTCTTGTGCATTAATTTTAAAAACAGGCAATTATCTGTTATTTTACATGCTCTATATACCTGAATCTAATACATAATATCGGTACTTGGCTTGATTGCCCTATTTTCCTATATAAGTTATTTGGTTTTTATTATTCTAATACCTATGTGCCTATTTGCAAACATAACCTCAAAATCATTCAGTGTATATGGTTTATAGAAGTTCTCAGGAGTGGCCGTCGATAATATTCTTTTCTACGGTAATTTATATATAATTTCGAATCTAGGAAACAACTTTTCATGGTTATTGGTTTTTAGGCCAAACATGTATGGAAGCTGAGCAATCTCCTTTCATATAAGTTGAAAGTTGAATCTCTTTCTAGACAGATATTGTTCTTTAAAATACAGCCAAGTTATTGTAATTAATTTGTTTTTTACATGTTTTAGCACATGTAGGTAAGCTTATAAAGTGTAAATGTTTATTAAGAAAAAGTTACTCCCATGGAAAACGGCATATAGCTCAGTTGACAATCATGTGGCAGTTGTTTTTCGAATTTCTTATCAAATCTTCAGACATTTATTAATGTGATTGATCTTTACTATGGCTATGTTAATTCAAGCACACAATGTTCCAATTCTAATACGTTTTTCTAAGATCTAAAGTAAACTTTAATAAATAGCAATAGGTAGACTATAGGTATAGGTATAGGTAATTGCAAGACTTGCAAGACTCTTGCTGCAAGACCAAGACCAAGACTGGGAGCGCAAGACCAAGACCAAGACTGGGAGCGCAAGACCAAGACCAAGACCAGGTGTAGTGGCGCAAGACCAAGACCAAGACTGGCTAAGTCTCGTCTTGTTCTTGCATTTGGGCAACACTAGTAGAGGCCTAGGATACCTATTGGAGCATTGTTTGTTTTTCATACAAGGTGACTTATAATTTTGTTTGCTTTTTAGCGCCTAACACGTCTTCGCACAGGCCCTGCCAGAATACCAGTGCTGATACAGTGAGAGCGTATTCTCTCAATGTGTCAGCATAAGCTGAGGCAGGGTCCTTTATAAGATGGTCAATAAAGGTTTTTCATTTCATTTCATAATTAAAACTTCGCGTTAAAATTCATCCATGTAAAACTTCGATACCTCAATCCCCTTTTAAGGGAGTAGTTTAGGACAAGAAATAAGATTTTTCATACAAATTTTCATCTTCTATTTTAAACCCTTCAGGGGTGAATTTTGCTAAAGCCTTTCTTAGTGCACCCCTAGACTTCATAAGAATTCACCTACGTGTCAAATTTGGAGTCTCTAGACCTGGCGTTTTGGGCTGTGCTTTGATATGTCAGTCAATCAGTCAGTTTCTTCTTTTATATAATTTACTTTTATTTATAAGAGGAGTATTATATCGGATTTAAAGCAATTGCTTTAAATTTAAATCAGACATAATATTGTTGATATCGGCCGCCTGCGACTTTGTCTACGTTATAGGATAAAACTCATATGTCTCAATCGAGGTCATTAAACTATATGCGTACCAAATTTCAACCAATTCTGTTCAGTAGTTTTTGCATCATTAAGTATCAAGCATATAAACACACAAACATACATACTTACAAACTCTCACATTTATACTATTAGTAGGATAATTGTAACAAAAGTAAGTAATTATTTTTGCTTATCTATTATGGGTATTATATTGCTATGAGTACGCGTTCTTGTATGATGCTATCTGCTCTGTGTACTATCAAACATGTACTATCACTTGAGAGCACTATTCCGGAGCTCAGTTGTAAACTGCGGTTCTATTTCTACATACGTTATATTAGAAAAATGTTGTGTATAATTTTGATATCGACGGCATTTTTCCTTATTTTTCTGCACATAGTGTTCAATTGTCATGAAAAGGCAAGGTTGGTTAGGAAAATACCGGGACCCGATAACTTATTTCTCGTTGGGAATGCTCTGGAACTCCTGACAACTCCTAGTGAGTAAATATAATAACGAGAACGAGAGAATAGACAATGGTCTATTTTCTTCAATAATAATAAAAAAAGCATTTCGACTGATTTGACTGATATTTTCAATTCAGTTTGAAATTGGCAGGTAATAGTTTCATCATCATTAACAGCCTATTATTACACGACTGCCAAAAAAGGAATGTATTGTTTTCAGGGTTCATGTACATACATGTACATACGTACAATCTTTTATTTCACCATAACTTAAGAGGTAGAGGAAACTAAATTTGCTAAAATACAAACAAGACAAAATTACGGCCATACAGTTGAATAGTAATAGACGTAATTTGCGATCTCAATTATGTAAACGGTGAAAGACGAGTTTTCCAAATAATCGAGGAGAAGGGAGACGAGTTCACTAATATAGAGAAGCTGTTAGAAGTAGCCAGAAAATAGTATGAGAATTATTTTGTTATTAGCGGGGTTGCTACCATGTACTTTGTTTTTTGCGAGTCCTCGATATTTCCGCACTGTTGCAAGCGCCATGATCACGGAGCAGTTACTCCGAGTAGTCGCGGTACATGGTAGCAATCCCGTTAATAACAAATGTAAGACATCAAATATCACTTCGCAACTATGGGGCATTCATACAGGGCTCGTATCTCCAATGAAAAGCTCTGAAGAAATTCCAGACGTTACTGAGGGGTAATACGTTTTGCTCTTGGCCAACTCAAGGTCACCGGGACATGATAACGTCATTCCTGAAATGCTGAAACTGGCGCCCGATACAGCCTGGAAAGCGTTGGCACTGCCGTTCACAAACTACATATTATGCAGCAAGGTCCCGAAAGACCAGGAGGCACTCCTTCCTTTTTTGATTTTCCTTCGACGTAAAAGGAAGATATTCGGAGACTTTATAATTATCGCCCCATTAGCCTTTTGTCGCACATGTATAAGCTGTTCACTAGAATCATCCTGGTCAGACTGAGGGAAAAGCTACATGCATACCAACCTAGAGAACCGGTTGAATTCTGAGCGGGATACAGAACTAACGACTGCCTATAAACCCTGAAGACTGTGATCGAAAAATGCCATAAATACCGAAAGTCAATTATTATCAAACTTCATCGATTATCATTTGAAATCATTCGATTCAGTGGAAGCGTAGGCAGTGGAAAAAGCCTTGCCGGAAAGTAGAGTAGCGGCGAAGGAACATTCGAAACATAAAACACCTTCAACTATCCGGAATGTTCTGGGTTCGCCTCAACAAGTTAACAAATGCGTTGACTGGAGAGAGTAGTCCACCAGGGTGATATCATATCGTCAAAAATTTTCAACGCCCTTGAAAACATTTTATATAAGATAGATGATTGATCAGCGATAACATCCAACAAATCCAAGTGAATTAGCCGGGGACAGAAGTCGATGAGGTTTTTGTTCGAAGACGAACCCAAAGGCTACTGATAAGAGATCACAGATTAAAAAGATATCCATATTACATGTATAATCCCGAGTACAAAACTTAGTTTAGTATTATTATGATAATAGTAGGTTGTTGATGATGATGATATAAAATCGACATTAATTATTATATTTTTTTATGAGCAAAGGGTTACGGTAAACAAACTTATGCCCTGCCTAATGGTAAGCGGCCAGCGAGGCTTATAGACATTTGGGACACCAAAAATATCACTCGCACCGTTGCCTACAATGATCTCTATCCCCCGGAGAACCCTGGAATCTTGCTCACCGACAGAAACTCAACACCACCAAAAGGCAGGTTATTGTACTGTGATCTTCTATAAGGTGGCGGTTACTTACCCAGAAGGGTGCTCCAATTCGAGCGGGAAATCCATCGATCGATTATATATAAAAAAAATGTGGAAAAAAGTAAAGGAAATGAACTAAACATTTTTTGGTTTATAGATTTAGCGAAAGAGCTCTCATATTTTTCACATGGGTGTTTTGTAGAAGTGTGTAATGTATTTTCATTTACAGTGAAAACTTTTGGAATGTTACGGAAGTTTGCCAGCACTCGGAGCATTTACAGGATCTGGGTTTTAAATTTGTGTTCAATAAACATTTTTACTCCAGATCATGTTGAGGTAATTAATTTTCTAATAGAAAAGTAAAGCTTTCAAATAAAACTATTTAATCAAAAGTTTAATTTTTAGTTGTCGTCTAAAAAGAACTATTATTTCGGTAGTTTTCTAATCAAAAGTACTATTAGTTAGTGTTGTACGTCACTGACCTAATAAAAACTTAATAAATTGTACATGATGTTTTGCAGATGATAATTTCAACAACAAAATTTAATGGAAAAAGCTCAATATACAGATTTCTACGTCCATGGTTACGAGACGGCTTACTTCTTAGTGACGGTAAGTCATTGAGCAACACGGCCGACTGACTCGTGCAGGCCGCGTCGTCGGCTGTGTTGCTCTGCTCTACCTAATTCTATGCGGCAAGTGCAAAGAAGATGGGAAACGTTTTTATTTATATTTAAAATGTGTTTCTTTTTTTAAATTATAGAAGGCTATTCATATATGTTTTAGTTACTTTGAATCCGTGAAAGTTTTTATGTTTGTTACTCAATCGCACAAAAGCTACTGAAAGGACTGAACTTCTGACCTGGATTGAGACATAGGAAACCAATTATTCCAGGAGAATGACAGGTTCCTGTGGTATTCTGAAAAAACTAAAGTTAAAAATGTTGTTTATTGCTATTTAATCTTAATATTGTGTCCATCTAATCCAAATTCTGTTCACATATAATTAACACTTGGGATTTAAATTTGGCTTCATAATTAATCCTCAATAATATTAAGAATAAAAAAAGAAGTATAGGTATTAACTTCATGAATGAAGAAGAATAATTTTAAGTATTTATTTTAACTTTTTTAGGGTTCCGTACTTAAAGGATAAAAATGGGACCCTATTACTAAGACTTCACTGTCCGCCTGTCTGTCACCTATATATCCAGATGAATAGTCATGAACCGTGATATCAAGACAGTTGAAAGGTTCACAGATGCGTATTTCTGTTGCCGCTATAACAACAAAAAATACTTAAAAGTAGAATAAAATAAATATATAAGGTGTGCTCTCTTACAGCAGACGTATTTTTTTCTGTTTTTTTAATTATGGTACGGAAACCTCCGTCCGCGAATCCGACTCGCACTTGGCCGGTTTTTTTATCAACCACCTCACTTTTTCTAGGGGCGAAATGGCAGCAACGTAGGAAAATCCTAACACCAACGTTTCACTTCAGTATTCTTCAAAGGTTCTGCGTGATTATAGAGAATAATAGTCGACGGATGGTGGAAATACTGAACAACTCCCCAGGGGAGAAGATAGACGTCGTTTCCCTTATGTCGGAGTTCACTCTCAACTCTATTTGTGGTAAGGATGACGTCATATAATAAGGTTAAGGGGTAATATATCCTATTAGTCGTAGATGAGAAGCGCTGGCAGCCTATGAGCCTAGACACAAATCAAATTCACATTGAAAATAAAAATGATTAGGAAAATATTCTTCAAACCCGTTTAAGGGTTTTAAATAGATTGACAAGATTTCTTCTGAAGTACAAAAATGAACCAGGCAGTGTTGGTAAGTATAGCAGCGACATCAAGTGTCTAAACTGGATAACAAAAAAATCTTTATCCATTTGATTGATTGATCGATTGATGATTGATTGAATTTTCGATTTGTCACGGAGTCATTCTCTACAATTCTACGATAAGTGCTTCCTTTTATCGGACAGATAGGCAGTTTTTTTTTCATTTCAGCTTGCACCTTTGATAACTTTTTCTATATAATTTTCATAAGCCTTTCGTAGGACTTATTTCTCCAATCTCTATTTGAGTAATCAGCTGCTACCTATATTATCTATAGCACTCTAAAAATAGTACAAAATGTTGTCGGCCTGATGCCGTTCCCTTAGCACTAACGAATATCGAATTCGAATAGTTTGCGAGTGCAAAATGTCAGTGTCAAATGAGTACTGATTTTTAGTCACGTTACATCCGTTATGGCGCTGTTATTCATGTTTCCATACAAAATTTTACAATATCAATACCTTAAGAAACAAAAGTGACATAGTACCAACTTGCGCTTTTGCCCTGGGGGTCTACCCCCAGGTCATCTAGGTGGTATCTAACCACCCCTTCTGGGGGAGGAAAATTATGTTGATAAAAATAACTCCAGGAATCGATAGAGTGGCAAATTCTTAGCAAAATTTGTTATATAAAGTTTTTGGAATAAATCAAATCAATCATAGATCAAAGATCGTAATTTTTCGTGATAAAAATACGTTTCATAAATAAATCAAAAATTATGAGTTTTTACAAAAAAAATATTATTACTAAAATTGAAGCTAATAAAAAAACAAACAAACACCTACTTTGAAAAACCTTCTAATATTAATTCAAAGTAAGCTATAGGTGTAATTATAATTGTATGTATATTTTTTTCGGCGAGTACTTACTCGTTTATCTAAGTATTCAAACCGTTATTTAACGGGAAACCGATGCATTTTATAACATATACTTTCTGAACACTTTTTAAATTCTTTCCAAATACATCTCTAATGAGCACTGTAAAAAGTTAATGATTTAATAAATAGATTTTTTTCATATTTTCTTTAGAAAATAACTTCAAAAATATTGGATATTGGAAAAAATGATAAATAAATAACTAATTTTAGTTCTTTTTTAAAAAAGATTTTGGTTCTTATTTTAATTTTATAGGATGAAAAATAACCGAGATAAAGATGTTTAAAGCCTAGAGCCTAATTTTTACTGCGAGAACCATGTAACGGGGACCCTTTAACCCTTTATCTTTAAAAAAATAAGGGCTTTAAAAATATATTTTTTTACAATAACTCCGTTAATTTTTAAGATATCGGGTTCATCCATAAGACTTTTTAAATCTACCCCCAGGGCAAAAGTGCAAGTTGGCACTATGTCACTTTTGTTTCTTATGGTATCCCCCACCTACTCACCAATTTTCATGAAAATCGATGGAGATTCAACAAAATCCGAGGTGTAAACCTTCATTGACTGGACTATAAAGTTTCATTGCTCGTTCCCCGTAGATTATAGCGTGATAATATGTAGCCTATATGTTGACCCGACTTCTTAATAATATTCGAGCCAAATTTGAAGTAAATCCATGCAGTAATTTTTGAATTTATCCCGGACATACATACAAACAAACAGACAAAAATTCTAAAAACTATATTTTTTGCATCGGTATCGTTTGTAGATCACACCCCAAGTATTCTTTTAAAAAAACTATTCAATGTACAGTTTTGACTTTTCTAGCATTTTATTATATGTATAGACTATAGTTTTTGTTCCCAGGCATTATGCACAATGAATCTCTTATCTATTAGACAAGTCCGTCCGTCCGTCCGTCCGTGGTGCTGTTTCAGCGGCCAAACCGTAAGAGATAGATATAGAGAATGTTTAAGTTATAAGTTAAGAATAGTCTGATAAGACTACAAACCGGATGTGAGTAACGTAGCACTTCCGGTTTTCGAGAAATCACGTGATTTCTATTTCAAACGAAACCACACAAAATCTCCGAAGTTCTCAATTAATTAAATACATTTTTTCTTTTTTTATGGTGAACATTTGGTTCACTGGTTTGCTAGTATCTTTATAAGTATAATTATAAACCTTCCACGAAAATTTACTTAACTGTACCCTTAGCACGAACCAATATCGAATCGTTTGCGAGTCAATGTCAATGTCAAATGTGTACTGATTTTTAGTTCTCGTTACGTACTTTGTAGCGCTGCTGTTCAATTTACCATACAAAATTTGACATTGTCATTTCGCACTCGCAAACTATTCGAATTCGATAATGGTTCGTGCTAGGGGTACCGATAGTGACATTTTTATTGCGTAGCTTGGGACCCGTTGTACCGAAAGCACAATTTTTTTGGTTACACGTGCAAATCTCAGGAACTAATGGTCCGATTTGAAAAAATATTTTTGCGTTAGATAGTGCATTTATTGAGAATGGCTTAGGGCTACATTATATTACGGTGCGACTTGAAGGAGAGGAGTATTGATGTAAAATGTTAACGGGTAAAAATATTTCATTAGGTAGATTCCGTTGTGTGCGCTGTGTAAATATATAATCATTTCATCAATCATCACAAAAATAAGGTATAATGGAATTGTCCCCCTTTAAAAGTTCTATAAAAAAGTCCACGGCAGCCTATGCCCATCTTTTAAGTTTGACTCACTATAACCTTTTTCCTTAAATTACCGCGAGTACCGCGGGGATCCTTAGTTGTGACTAAACTGTAAAAGTTAGACATATGATATTGCGGACCTTTTAATACACCACTTTGCTCTACTATCAATGACTTCCGCAGCGTAAGCGATATAAGGTTATTTTTTGGATTTTTTTCCACACCTTGGGTTACGTTATCGAAATTTTCATATGGAACCCTAAATATAAAAAAGCTCGTATCATTAAGAAATATTAATTCATAAAAGTGTTTTTTTTTTCAAATCGGTCCAGTAGTTTCGGAGACTATTCTATACAAACAAACAATCAAATCTTTCCTATTTATAATAGAAGTATAGAAGAAGAGCTTAATTGGACCAGTATTTAAAAAGTTGTTTTTATATATATATATTATAGAAAAAAATGTTTTTCATCAAGACATGCCAAATTACCGATTTTCTAAAGAACCCGTCGTCCACATTACCGTTTTATCTTGATTTCTTTCTGTGCTAGACACTTATTACAGCAGGAAATAGGTTTATTCGTTGACAACATTGACGTCATTCCCTACCCTTTGTAGCTCTACCAGCCAATCTCACTCACTGTGGAGAAGCACATTGTAATTTTCTATAAGGTTCACACATTCATAATCTGCTGTACTCTACCTCTTTCAAAACTACAGTTTCACCTTAAAGCAATGAGAGATTTATTTTAGGATAATTTTAATGAAAAATCAGTTGCAAGTGATCATTTTTATAATTTTTCAGAAACAGCAATGGGCACACGGTTTTCCGAGGAAATAGTCGAAAAAGGAGTATCTTACAGAACTGCAATCCATAGTATAGGAAAGTGTTTGGTGCAAAGAATGACTAGAGTAATACTACACAACGATTTTATATTTAACCATTCAGCTTTAGGTAAAGAACAAAACAAGTCCATAGAAAAAATTCAAAACTTTACGGGAAAGGTGATAAAAGACAGAAAAGCATACATAGAAAAATATGGTGTCGAAAATCTGGAAGATGATGATAAAAAGGATAATAAGGAGTATAACATGAATAATAGAAGAAAACCGACAGCCATGTTAGACTTGCTTCTTCATGCGCAAAAGAACAATCTAATTGACGATGAGGGCATACAAGAGGAAGTAGATACCTTTATGTTCGAAGTGAGTAATAGCAACGATACATTGTAACACTGATGTTAAAAATTCTAACAAAATTTGTCTTTGTTTCCTATTATGATTGATGATTTGGTACCTAACAATAGTACCTACATTAAATCATGCATGCTATCGAACGACGCATTATAGATCTACTTATTACGATTCAAATATGTAATTTAGATCAAAAAATATTTTTCGTTATAGCACAAAAGCGTACTATTTGAAATATTTTGTCCAGATTGATGTACACGTTAGCGAAATCCTTGGTCTATGTGATGGACATTATATGCAAAGAACATCCATGGACGAAGAATTCTTTATGAAGCGTTAATGAAACCACCTCAGAAGAGTAAAATATCATATCGTCATGTTCGAAAATACATAACTTTTCAACGAGATGTGTAGTTAAATATTACTATGTATTACTTTTTACGCGCTATTTTAAGATTTCGCGAAACTCCAGGTCTCTTAATGAAAATTACGATAACATATTGTTTATTTTTAACAGTCTGCACTACTTTTCCAGGGACATGACACCACATCATGTGGCCTTATGTATTGCTTAATGTTGCTGGCTAACCATAAAGATATTCAAGTGAGTGATCAATATTCAGTTCGTTAGTACGATAGACTGATAGTGTTCTTTTTACTATCTGGGTAAAGGAGGTCGAACGAGACACTAGACCCAACTGCTTACGGTCTAGAAATTTTGGACGCGAATTGCCGCTTAAAGGCCAGTTACAATAATTGTTAGTAATATCGACAGTTGTTATTATTATCAAAAATATCAAGGCTACAAAGCTTTAATAGCCCATCTGTTAATTGAGTCTGTTTATTAAAACAAGCCGCATCAGGATGCCAGCTGCGACCCTCTCTATAACGCTCACCCGCGATACCGGCAAAGAAATCGGTATGAAGGCAGTTGTAATCACATCGGCAAGAAGACCTGTTGCCGTTACTACAACTTAAGCCAATTGAACAAGAAAAGGACCGGGCACATGAGGAGGGTTTCGATGTCGCATCATACGACTTCCATGCTTAAGCTGCCGAAATTAACCACCAAAGTTACCTAAGCTCTTCTGTCATTCGAAATGATAACAATAGTTACTCTTTAAAAGCCCATTATATTTTTTTTAAATTAAATTGAATGGTTTTTGTACAATCGAAACTGATTCTTGACCCACATGACCGATAATTCTCTTAAAAATGTTAAAACAGATAAATTTTCTTAGAGTATATGGGTAACTGCACTTATGACCTTCTAATAACAAGGAAACTGTATTAACATGGATCAAAGATCTTTGAAATTTGATCTTTGTTTTCAATTCAGTAGATCATCTTTTAGATAAAATTGGAATTGTAGTTTGAATTTAGTAATATATTTCAAAATGGTAAATATAATAGAAACTTATTCGATTTCTTGAAATTAAGAAAACTTTGATAAAATTGATGCGAAATCCTAAATCTATTGTCAAAACTCTAAATAGCACGCGAATAACTAACGTCAACATTATTTATTTATACTATATTGCACAAATGAGTGTACGAATGGCGGACTTAATACCATTAGGCATTCTCTACCAGTCAACCGGAGAGTTATAGCAAAGATCTTAAGAAGGTAGTGCAAAAAGAATTCATTAAATTATTTATTATAATTAAAGTATATCTATAGAAACAAAATAATATATATATATACAAATACTACATAAAATACATATCTATCATTATCTCAAGGGAGGCGGCAAAATATGTCATTTCAATTATGAATGGTTCTAAAAATATACAACTTTGTTTTCAGAGATACATAAATTCAAGCGAATTTGTACCTTATTGATTTGCAATGGTTGTACGAAAATAAGCATAAGGTGGGCCAGGAATCAAATTCGCCTATCGTACCTACCTATTAAACAATTGAACTATTGAGAGTATTTAATATTTTTATATAACTAAATTCAGTAAATTTTATTACAGGATAAAATATTTGAAGAGTTGCATACGATTTTTGATGAATCGGATCGAAGTGCGAGCTACGACGACTTGTCTGAGATGCGCTACCTCGAATGCTGCATCAAAGAGTCCCTTCGTCTATATCCACCCGTGCCGTTTATCAGTCGTCAGATTACTGAATCAATCGACTTAGGTAATTTTTCTTATTTTTCCAAATGTAAAAATAAAAAAACGCTCTCTCTTTTTCTTGAATTTCAATATTCAACATCTTTTTATGTTCAGAAACAACAGGATCCAAAAATTAAATTTATGTTATGAATTAAAATACAAATTGGGGTTGGTAAGTAATGTTTAGTTTAAAAAAAATGCCAGTATCATTCTAAATGATACTAACGAATGAAGGATACTAACGATACATAATTATTACATTCAACTCTGTTCAGATATCGTGATGTAAAGAAACTTATGAATTCTGAAAATTTTATATTGTTAATTATTTCACAGTCATGATAAAAATTTTAACTAACGTTACCGTGTTCAAGCTTAGTATGTGTCAAATTGCCTAAAGGAAACCTAAATTTAGGTGGATACAAGATACCCAGTGATGTATTCTGCCACATTCACATCTACGATCTACATCGTCGAGAAGAGTTGTTTCCCGACCCGCTGAAGTTCGACCCCGACCGCTTCTTGCCAGAGAACTGCATTGGACGCCACCCTTATGCTTACATTCCATTTAGCGCTGGACCACGGAACTGTATAGGTGATAAAAACATTTCTAAGCTCTAATTAAATTAATGTCAATTTTATGTCGATGATGATGACATCTATCTTATATTAATAATAGAAAATAACCAAAATGTTCCGAATTACTGCAACTAGTTAGATAATTCTTATCCTTTGTAAAAAGTTATTATGGGCCAATATCAACATAATATGCATTTTTTGTAAGATTTGGTGGCGCAATTTAAGGCTGGAATACTATAAAATGAAGTATATACTTGCACATTTTCTTATTTCTCCGAAAATCATAGCAATATTCACCGAGTAATTTACATCCAGTGTTTTGCACTGCCACCAAAATTTAAAGGACATTGTTCTGCGTCCATACATAGTTAGCCTAAGAACTAACAATCATGAAATATTATTTTCTAGGTTCGAAATCGCAAGTAAATGACTGTAAAAACAAACTTTATTGACGGACACTTCTGATAACTTAAATTATTAGGAAAACTAAATTTTTTTGAGGTTATGTTTAATATTCAGTGAAACCTATGAACTTAGTATGAACTCAGTATGAAGTGAATTAATATTATTACAACTAATTCCTTTTATTCGGTGCGATTTTAAAGAATAACTATTAGGAGGAACCAAGTTTTGGTTAGGTAGGAATCATGAATAAAATAAAAATAATAGTTCTGCTTCTTATTATTTATTGACTATTTTTCACATAATTGTATCATATTGTATTTATTTGTTTAACACATGTATATTGTGTAAATATGCAGCGTGAATGTGTATCAGGTGCTCTTGAATAATTTGGCAGTATGATCCTTTCAGGATGTTGTGGCACAGGTTCACTAGCAGTTGGTAATAAGGTCTCTGCTCTTTGGTTACATCGATGGCATATTAGATAGCCGAAATAGTAATAGTTAAATTAAAGGAAAAACAATCGCAAATAAACATACACAGCAGGTAATCCGGACGAGAATTTTCCGTATACAAAAAGTACTCTTTGACGAGAATGCACGAATGCCACAGATTACTACGAATACAAACTGCCTGCACCACAACCACAAAGTATCGACTTTATGCCGGCCCTTTCCTTGACAACAGTTTGTCCTTGTCATGCTTAATAAGAAATGAAAAGGACAGACGGATGTCATGTTTTTAAATAGCAAATACGAATAGCCAAGTGAAGTGCCGGCATTAGGAAAAAAGTGTTTTTTGTTTGCAGCGCTGTCATAGATTATACACACAAAATGGTATTTATTGTCTCAGATTATTTATTAAGTTTTTAATTTAGCTTACTTAACTGGAAGTGTCCGTCACAATCTAAATACTGATAATTATCGCAAAAAATATACTAAGAATTATCATAAATGCCAAATTACCGACCTAATAGAAGGTTTATTTGCAGGTCAAAAATTCGCTATGATGGAGATGAAATTAGCATTATCAGCTATACTGCGGCGCTTCGATCTGAAACCGGTTACAAAGCCTTGGGAATTGCGCATAGCGGCTGACATGATGCTAAGAAGTACTGAACCAATTTATGTCATTTTCGAAAAAAGAAACACATAAATGAAACACGGGGTGGCCGAGGTCGATTAGAGGTATCAAAACTATTAATCGTTTTCTGGTATTGGTGTCAGGAAACATAAAACAACGTAATTTTAATGACGCTCTGGGTCCTTTTGGATTATATTTCTAATGGCTATTAGAAATATAATCCAAAAGGACCCAGAGTCATAAATGTGTCCGATAAATTGTTTATACGGCTGTATAAACGATTTATCGGATACATTTATCCAAACTACTAAAAGATATTAAAAATAGTTTAAAGTAAAAAGTGTTTAATTAAAACTATGATTCAATTCAAACATTAAGTAGTATTTACTTAGTCGTTCCTACCGTAAATGACCAACGGTTTCGAAGTTGACAGTGTAAATTGGAGAAACACACCCAGAAATATATATATATATGTATATTTACTAATTTTCAAGTAAGGTGAAGTTTGCGAACAAAGACGATTTATAATAATAATAATAATAAATATTCTTTATTGCACACAACAAAGGACACAAGCTATAAAAAAATAAAACAGAAGAAAGAGTACAATAGGCGGCCTTATTGCTAAACAGCAATCTCTTCCAGGCAACCTATGGTGGAAGAGGAATAATAATATAGATAAGAAGGATGTAAAAATAAATACAAGAGATATACAAACATCAATATTTAAGAGAAGCAAAAAAATGGGATGCTAATTCAATTTAAGAAATGGAAATAAAATAGCTTTTAAATTGATCCTTATTTTCAAACAACATTATTTTCTTTTTCTTTATTCTAATTAGATTTTATGCTGATTCGCCTATTGATATGTAACTAGGTATCAGTTCAATAGACTTTCGGTTTCAGCTTCCTTCCGAAGAGTTTCCTGAAAAACATAAGTAGGTAGCATAATTGGTCAGTGCATTCGCCCTGATACCGAAGGGTTTGGGTTCGAGGCCCGTCTGCTGCCTGGCCCGCGTGGATTTTTTTCTAGTTATATTTTCTTTAGATTTAAGCATCAAGCAGTTACATGCTTAAAAAAATAAAATTATAACTATAATTGCTATTTCTTCTTTCAAATGTTTAATACTAGTAAAAGTATTCATTGTGGGTTACCTACAGCATAAGAATGGCTAGAGGAATTTCGACGCGGCCGTCAGGACTGCGGTAGCATAATTGGTCAGTGCATTCGCCCGGATAGCGAAGGATGCAGGTTCGAGTCCCGTCTGCTGCCTGGTCCGCGTGGATTTTTTCTAGTTATATTTTCTTTAGATTTAAACATCAAGCAGTTACATGCTTAAAAAATAGAAATTATAATTAAAATAAAAGTTTACTCAATAGCCAACACATTTATGTGGTTTCTAACGATCCTTCAGATGTTTCCGCATTAAGGTCTAATATTTTATTCAATAAATAAAATTGATTGGCTTGCTATGAGTTATTAGATCATTCTCATCATCATCATCACGATTCGATGGACGTCCACTGCTGGACATATACTTCCTCAAGGAATTTCCATTTACAACGATCCTACGCTTCCCGCATCCAGTGGGAAGATAGAAAAGTGCAAAGTTATTGGAAGATATGGAGCCTAGAATACCTCACCTATTTGCAAAAGCGCAATAAATGGAATAAACCATCGAAACCAATTACTAAACAGGAACAATAGTTGTCATTAAGGACGATAATTCTCATCCAATGCATTGGCCTTTAGCTGTTTCAGAAACTAATCCCGGCAAGGACAAACATATTTGAGCGGTTAAAGTTAAAACTATTGCAATAGTTAGGTACTATAGAAATCAATTTAATCTTTAAGTTTAATAAAATTTAACCTTATGATTTTCTTAATGCTAAGTTAGCTTAGTTAAATGTAATTCTCTCAATGTAGAGGAAACCTCTAGGCCTAATATATTACGATACATAACACCACAACGCACCTACACATTAAAAATCTCTGAAAATTAAGTAATAAGTTTGCGTATCAATCAGCTACAACCATAATTTAAATAAGTGGCATTCCAAGAATAGTAAATTTATAATCTAATGATATTAAATTCTCGTGTCACGGTGTGTGTAATTGAACTACTGCGAAACGGCTCGACCGATTTTCGTGAAATTTTATATGCATATTCGGTAGGTCTGAGAATCGGACAACATCTATTTCATCTCCCTAATGTTAAGGGTGGTCCACCCTTAATATTTTTTTTTTGACAAAAATTTTTGTTTTTTTTTTTATGATACATCATACAAAAATATATACAACCCTAAATTTTCACTCTTCTACCATCAACCCTTATTTATTCATGGCGGTACGAAGTTCGCTGGGACAGCTAGTAATAATATAAATTAATGAAGATACACTATCAACAGGGTCATGAGTCATGACCACTACAGACATCTATTGGAGCGATATTTACAGTCTGATGCTGTTGGCACTGACCATAATAAACTATCAAACGCGAAATAAAGTTCGCAATTAAAATTAAAATGTTTTTCTGCCACACAATCTGAAGTATGTTTGTTATATTAACCCGATCAAGGACGTTAAATTGGTACCTATGGGACTAGATAATTAAACTACTGGGAGCCGGGGAACAATTACCACTAGGTAAATAATAAATAATAAATAAATATTTCCAACACTCACACCAATTAGCCTAGCCCCAAAGTAAGCACTGTAAAGGCTTGTGTTATGGGATACTAGGGTAACACGGATAGAATACATATATTGTACATATATAAGTATATTTATATGAAATACATATTAAACATCCATGACTGGAGTACAAATGCTCGTATTCATCACACAAACATCTGCCCCCACCGGGATTCAAACCCGGGACCTCTGGAGTCGGCGACGCCATGAAACCCGGCGTATAAACCACTCGGCCACGGAGGTCGTCAGGTATATAGGTAACGATCAGGAAACCTTATCATAGAGATATTAGGGAAAACTTGATGTAAAATAAAATCTATTAAAGTACGTAAGATTGGCATAGAGTAAGTTGAATTGAACAAATTGGAATATAAATAAACAACCATAATTCGGGTTGAAATATTTGCATAAATCATGCAAACATTTGGCCATGCCGGAAATAGAACCCAGGAACACAGAGTAGGCGTCACCTTGAAAATATGTATATGTGTTACTCTACCACGGAGTTCGCCTTTATTACTTCTATGTTAGTAAAAGGTTACTTAGAGGTAATCTAAAGAACACGCTGATAACATTGCGGATAGAATAAATAAGAAAAGAATCAAACGATCAAAATATTTCAATAAAGTATAAGTATAGTTTACACGCACACATGTACAGATTCATTTGCATTAAATCATAACATTAATATCTAAAGATGTACGCTATTGAGTTTACTTATCTGAGAGGAGCCACTGACTCCTGAGATACAGGACATGTCCTAGTTGACATGGAAGTTTGAGACTCACATTGTTTTGAAAATATTAACTGTAAGGTTGTTAATGTTACAACCTTAACCGATGTTAATGGATCATTTTATTCTTGTTAAATAAATATATTTATTATTATTATAGTTTTAATGAAATTTTTAACTAGAAAAAAATCTATTCGGTGCAGTTTCAGGCAAGATTCGAACCTGCACCTTGCGCTCTCCGGGCGGACGTACTATTGATTGATAGTTATAACATGATGGCTGTAAATGAATAGGAAAATTTGGTTTCTGGCTGTTGCATATATGTAAATAAGCGCGCAACATTGTTCGATCCTCTTCTTGCAATATACAATTTAGTATTAGAGTAAGTATAAGTCAGTCCTCAGTTGTGACTGGTTGTCCTATTCTAGACACGTGCTCTCAGTGATCACTGATTTTAAATTTATCCAGTATGTTGTTTATTATTTTAGTATCTACGGTGTCTATTTTGATTTTTCTTCACTTATTATTTAATAGTAGTGAGAAGGCCAGGTTGATCAAGAAAATTCCGGGGCCCTGCGATTATTTCATCATTGGAAATTTACTGGAATATATAACAACACCTGGTGAGCAGATAATTTGAAATTGTAGACATGGTAAATTGATGAAAATAATTTAACGGTACACCTGCAGCGTTATTCTTTAAGAACAAACTTACTTTTCACCGCGGAATTTATGGTGTGACTTGTATATGAGATTCGTGTTCTAATATTAAATCGCACCGCGCAACCCGGAAATGTGCGTTTTTTCTTATAGAATGGAACTAAAGTGATTTAATTAAAAATTTATATTTTCTTTTGAAGATTGAATTTACTTATTTTACTATGCATGCAATTTTTTTTATTTTTACAAAACAAACTAGACGGCACAAAATTAAGTAATATCATTAAGATGGAATGTTAGACGGATACAGAGATTTCCGATCAAATTGGAGCGCTTCTGAGGAAGTGGGAGGACATCTACTTTTAGAAACCAAAAAATACTATTTTTTATATTTGAGTTCCAAAAGTAGGCTTTGAACGGGGTCAGGGCTTTCTTTCTACATAAACAAAAACGTATATTTTATTTTATAATCAGCTTTCGCCCGTGACTTTATCTAAGTTTAATTCAGCGCAACATTTTTTTCCATAAGAATCTTTTAGAGTACCTACCAGAAAACTTAAAAGAAAGGTTGATGCAATCGGTCTAGTCGTTCTGTAGCGTAACTAAAGGAATAAGGGGAATTATTAATTTTAAAATATAAGATTACTTACTACCACTTACTAACAGGGATGTTTGCTCAGGTCCTGTTCCCTAAAATGTGCTGTTCTTAAAATGATTGTTTTTTTTATAATATCTGCATTTATAGAATGTATCTTTCCTATTCTGTTTGCTAAAATGTGATTTTCCCGAATGTGTGCTTTATTATAATGTCTGCTTTGTCACAATGTCCACCTTCTTAAAATGTCTCCAAAGAAATCATGAATATCCTGAGCGAATGCAAGTAAATTTCGCTGTTTATACTTTTTATGTGCAATAAATAAAATTAATAATAATATCCTTATTAAAATACCTTTAAGGAAATCGTTAAATCCCCTGGGTGAATACCTACATAATTCGTTGCCCGAATATCCAAGGAGTACAAAATCTATTTTCGCATTATAATATGTATGAACTTGTAATAAAATCTACTTGGTTATACCATTTGTTTCTGGCTGGTTTTGGTATCATTAAAAAGTAAAATTTTAGAGAAGATAATTCCAAATTCAAATTAGAAAACTGTGAGATTTTCATTTATTTTTCTTACTGTCAAGATGAGTGCATCAACTGAAGAAATTAGAAACAAAATAAAATTTTACTACAAAAAACAAAGATTTAAATCGATAGATCTGCCCTTACCATAGTTTGACCGCACCAATATCTGTCTATACTCGAATCAGTGAACTCCCATCTCATCATGTCTTGTCTTATCAGTTTTTTTTGTGACTGTGGCTTTCTAAGTTTTACACAGAAATTTCGCCAATGTCCAGTAGTGAAATAGACACGAGAAAGACTGCTTAGAAGAAACAGATTATGGTGATATAAAGTAATTATCAGTGTTCATCTGAACATAGTGACAGTTAGACGTTGTTGCTTAAAATTCCTCAGGCATTTTTTGCGAGAAAAGTGTCTCAAAATGCCGTCGCGTGCCTTCCGAAAATGCACTAAAAATACAAATAAAGCTAATGTTGCGGCTGCGGCCTCTCCTATGTGTATTTTTGTAACCACCACGATCCCGGCAGCGGCCGCGGGCGGCGTCTGTCTGTGAGACACTTAATATTGAATGTATTTCCTCAATGGCTGTATTTCATGCAAGAATGTTAAACCTATTCTCTTACACTCTTACTCCCATCTTTTAAACCTTTTATTTATATTCTGTTTCGTTTCCTTTCCTTTCCTCTCCTCCTCCTCTTCCTTTCGCCTCTCATTATTATTAAACCGTCCTCTCCTCTCCCTGTCTTTCCAACCCATTCGACCTCCCTGGCTGCATCTCAACGCGGCCTCGGATTCTGATGGGCCTACTCTACCAAGTATCGAATCCATTACATCACAATTATGTTATATGCATCAACTTAAAATGTAATAAATAAATGTGTTTAAAAAAATAATGGTGTAACATTTCACTCGTAAAATTTTAGATTTCATTAATTATTAAATTAATTTGCTTTCGATGTCATAAATATTGAAATTTGATCGAACAGCGCATGACAGAGAAAGTAGTATTGGAAATTACGAGTATTGCAAGACAAAAAGAGACAACATTATTCTCTCGATACTGGGCTGTGCGTTTTGAAGTTTGTCCGCCCATAAAGTTTCATAAAAAATAGTTCTAAATTTGAAAGAAGTGGTTACTGTTCTTCATTCTCATTTTAGCGACGAGCACTTAGTCCTTAAATTTATCGAATCGGTAATCTTAGGGCATAGAATTTAAATTTTACAAAATTATACTATATTATGTATAATTATATTTAGATAATATAATATCCATAATTATATTTAGGGCTTCCGGTAAAAAAATCACGTATAAAACATTTAATATTATAATCTCTTTCTCTATCTTTTCTTTATATTTAACTAGCTGATCCGGCGAACTTCGTACCGCCCAAAAGTCGATGAATGTGGTTAAATTTTAAACTCAATTTAATGAATGACTTTACAGCTACAACAAAAAAAGTTAAATATTTTATAAGTTAATGGGTTAAAGCAAAAGATTTAGAGAAAGCGACCGGAATCAAGCAACAGAAGGGGTGTGGTTTTTCATCATGATAACGTTAGATCTCACACATCTTTAGCCACTAAGCAAAAATTAAGAGACTTTGACTGGGAGGTGTTAATGCATCCGCCGTATAGTCCTGACCTTTCACTTTCAGACTTTACCTGTTTCAGTCTCTTTAGAGTTCTTTAGGCAGGATCAGGTTAACATCACTTGAGGACTGCCAAAACCACTTGTCGCGGTTTTTGATAAGAAACTCCAAAATTTGATCATGTCCCTACCTGCAAGATGGCAAAATGTTATCGAACAAAATGGCACCTACGAACTTTAGTTGAATAAAAATAAACTTTATCAAAAATGTTTTGAATTTTCATATAAAATGCGAAGAAACTTTTTGCCCAACCTAATATAATTATCAGATTACAGGCCGTTTTAGTTTTCAACTAAAAACTAAATATTGGTCCAGAGGGACTTAATGAGTGAATCTTAATTAACAAACATATCAAGTGTGAAATTTATTTGTTCTATTTTTTCACACTTAATTTATCTGGTTATTTAGTATGGAGAATTGGAGAGGCCTATGTCCAGTAGTGGACTAGGATAGGCTGTTGAACATGATGATGATTTAGTATGCCGAAAATATACAATGAAAAGTTTATTGACACTTCTCACATATATATTGGGAAAGAGGCAGTGCTTCTTTCCCAAAGCACCTAGCAGCTGCTAAGTGGTTAGTTAGTAGAGTCGGTCTGTAGCAGTCTCACTTAAAACATCAATTTAAAAAGAGTCTTCCATGAAAATAATATGTGATAGATTTTGCCATACATTTACAAAATTGATAATATTAAACACAAATGTCAGATAAAATTATTAGACAGAAAATTGTATGCCAAAGAGAGCGAGATAAGTTTAAGATATAAGGCCGGAAAATGAAGTTAAAAAAATAATTGATGAATTAAATTGTCATAAAAACCCAGGGTCAGACGGAATTAGAGTAATAGATATAAAATATATTAAAGATAAATTAAGCCCAATCTTAGCATACTTTGTAAATATGTGTATCAAAAAATGTGTATATCCAAATGACCTTAAAATGGCTATAATAAGACCGATCTATAAGCAAGGAATACACGAGGAGTACACAAACTATAGACATATAGCAATATTAAACGTCATTAACAAAGTTGTTGAGAAATTAGTGGTTAAGCAGATAATTGATTTTGTTGAGCATAATAACTTACTCAGTGATAACCAGTATGGTTTCCGGCCAAATAGAAGCACAGCTACAGCACTGACAGTGTTTTCTAATAATGTAAATGATTGTTTAAATAATCAGTGTGTTGTTGTGACTATCTTTGTTGATTTCAAAAAAGCTTTTGATACTTTGGAACACGAAGCTCTCTTACAGGCAATGGAGGAATGTGGGATCCGTGGACCAATGAACAACTGGTTCCGCAGTTATTTAAAAAATAGATCACTAAAGGTATCAGTGGGAGGTGCCGAAAGCGATGAGGGTAAAATTAAGTGTGGCGTTCCAACTGGCTCCATTTTTGGACCTGTTGGATACATAATGCACGTTAATAACATGACAAATGTTGTAAAGAAAAGTAGATCTTATATGTATGCGGATGACACGTGTATTGTGTGTAGTGGCAGGGACATAAATGTTGTGCAAAAAGAAATACAGGGGGACTTTGACTATATTGCCCGCTGGGCACATGATAACGGAATAATATTAAACCTGCAAAAAACCAGATGTATGCTTATTCAGTCACCCCATAGCCATAATAAATCAACAAAGATACTCATAAGAGGACACTCATATGATTGTTTACATGCTAACGGGACAAATTGTAATTGTGAGCCTATAGAACAGGTACAGTCTTACAAATATCTGGGTCTGACAATTGAAGAAAAGTTCTCCTGGATCTTACATGTAGATAATGTCTGTAGAAAACTGCGCAGCATACTGTGTAAGTTAAGCACCCTAAAATACATGGTAAGCAAAAGCGTTTTGTTTATACTATACGTTGCATTAGTTGAGGCAGTAATCACGTATGGGCTGGGGGTGTATGCAGTCACTTTTTCCACCTATTTAAATAAAATTAAACAACTTCAAATAAGAATCTTAAAACTATTAGTCAACAGGAAAATAAAAAAATCATTACAAAAAGATTACGAAAAATTATTCGCAATATGTAAATTATTACCCATTGAAAGCAAAGTAAAAATATTAATTATGATTGAAGAATTTGGCATAACAGAATATCGTAAGGAAAGACGCCATATATACCCAACTCGCTTAGCAAAGAAAAATAAACAACTGTTAATACCAAAAATAAATAACTATTATGGAAAACGTGAAAGACGGTGGATGGTACCCACCTTAATTAATGAATTACTGGAAGATGTTACTAAAGATGCGGCCTCCAGGAATAGTCTTAAGCATAGACTCAAGAAACATTACCTATCACTATGTCCATGACCTGATTAATGTATGTCAAATGTTTAATTTATAGATTATATTAATTGTTTTTCATTCGCGCAAAAGCTACTGAATGGATTTTAATTAGATTTAGCAAGTATATATAGTTTATCAACAGGATTGAGACAAAAAGGATACTTTTTATATCGAAAAATGTAAGGTTTGGGTATTTATTAAGTTTGGTACTGATATAAAAGACAAATAATTGTAAATAGGGAAAACAATAAATATAAGTGTCACGGGAACTGCTGCCGACAAACTGCATTGTAGTTGGCAGAAATATAGATATTAAGTGTTTTTCTTTATGGAAAAAATATTAAAAAAGAAAAAAAAAATTAGCACAAAAAAGAACGAAAGTCGAAAACTACTCCCCTCTCTGATTTTGATATAGATTTTCTTACCAATCATAAAGTTGGGAAATAAATAGACACTGAAAATGAAGTCTAAAAATTATGATCACGGGTTATAAAAATGTGTTTATTCGTGCTATTTTCGGCGTAAGTTATAATTTTAGACTTATCGTATGTCACCGCTAAATATTTAATTAAACACAAAGGAGAATTACAATTACGAAGGTGGAAAAAGTCACTCGACGGAGTCATAAAAACATGTTTACAATAAGTGGAACTACACAATTTGTGTTATTAGCATACTTAAAAAAAAGGATTTGATTTGAGGTGTATATTTTTATATAATGGGCTTATAAGAAGGCTCAGAGTCACACCGCGATCGATGGAGAGAGCTATGTTAGGTGTTCCTCTACGTTATCGAATCAGAAATGAGGAAACCCGTAGAAGAACCAGAATAACGCCTATTAAATAATTGTATCTACGCGTAGTTTCCACGAGTTGCTCTAATACTCATGATGAGTGGATGATGATAGCGCGTTCTATGCGAGCTCTGGAATAGATTCTGCTGAGATATTTGCTTTTCTTCAAATTTGATGTAATTTTTGAAGTGAAAACTTCTTTAGCGGCGTTTTACACTTTTTTTGTATGGATAAAAAATGTTAAACTCGCGCCAGGTTAAACACTTGGGCTGATCGCATCATGACACACAATAAAATTGGAAAGGTTGTTGACTTTCAATATATTGGACGAAACATAGTAATATTTTATTTTATCGTATTATAATAATAAGTCTCTATCTAGGACGTCCACGTGGCAGCTTTATTGCGAAGAAAATGCATTTTTTTACAATAGATGATTCATGTAAGTTGATTTCTTTACAAAAGAAATAAATGAAAAAGTGATTCATGTAAGTTGATTGTTCTGAGAGATAACCTTTTTTAATGTAATATAAATTGTCATGTTTGTGAACGATAGCGCAATAAATAAATATTGTATGCTGCCACATACATGATAGTACTTTTATACTGATAATTAAAGCAATTCGTGCAAAATTATTCCCCAACCATTCCAAAATATCAAAAATGCACAACGTTAATATTCACGTTTTCACTTCTGCCGGCACTCCCGGAGTGCAACCCGTCGTTTTTTTTAATTAACGTCTTATGTGCTTTTACCTTTTTTTAGTGAAAATTTTTGGTGTAACTCGAAGGGCTGCCAACACATGGAAAGGTATTTACAGGTTCTGGTCTTGCAATATCGGTGCTATCAACATATTGTCTCCAGATCATATCGAGGTAATTTTGAAAAAATAATCAAAATGCACCCAAAATGTAATAAGTTTCACATTTTTTTATTTTCACTATCACCCAGATAGCAAACAGATCAATATTAATCTTTAAATAGGAACTTATATTAATTACAACAATTCCATTTTAAAGTGGTTTTATATAAACTTAACATTTTGAAAAGAACCCACGTTTGCTGTTTTTGAAAAAAGAGAAAATACTACTTACGTACTTTGTTAATAATATGTACACCGATTACTTAAAGTTTTTCAACCGATTTGTTGTTTGAACCGAACCGTATTGTTCAATAGAATATAGTTCAGTTGCCATTTGCTTCCAACAAAATCGATTAAGTTTGACCAGGTAGTTACAAGCACGGATCAAAAGCTTAGCAGTGCGTATGCGGTTATTTGGCTTCCAAAAGTAATGCTCACCTGCTGGAATTGCGCAAACTCAGATTCATGGATTTAAGACCAAATTAAATCTTAAAACGATTTCCAAGTTGCTGAAAATAAATTCTTGGAAAATATTAACTTGCTTGGCCTATAAGAGCATGCTTTGTCTGTTCGTTTGTGGGTAAAAACAACAAAGCTAAATTATACCCCTAGGCAAGGTACGACCGCAACTTCTATCGAAGAACCATCACAGATAAGCATTTTTTCTTGTAGTATTAACCGTAACATCTATTATGTAGTAACATATATATTTTTTAAGCATTTAACTGCTAGATTTTTAAATATAAAGAAAATATTACTAAATAAAAATTCACGCGGACCAAGTAGCAGACTGGACTCGAACCCGCACCCTACGCTATCAGCAGCAGCAGTTAAATGCTTAAAAAAACTATATTTGCTATTTCTTTTTTCAAATGTTTAATACTTGTGAAGGTATTCGTTTGATATTGTGGGTTGCCCACAATGCGAAGAGATGGCGCTACCTTGCAGCCTAAGAAATACTAGAGAAAATTCGACACGACCATAACGGCCGCGGCAGGAGAATGGTCAGTGCATCCGCCCGGAAAGCGGGGGGCGGGTTCGAGTCCCGTCTGCTGCCTGGTGCCCGTGGATTTTTTTGCTTGTAAAATTTTCTTTACATTTAAACATCTAGCAGTTAAATGCTTAAAAAAATATATGTAACTACATCATAGATGTTACGGTTAATACTACAACAAATTTTCTTTAGATTTAAACAGCTATGGTGTGTAACTTGTTAAAGACCGAAAAAAGAGCTACAATTACCTATTATGATTTACATTTACATATTTTACAGGCGATAATTTCTACAACGAAGTATAACAGTAAAAGTGTGGTATACGATTTTATGCAGCCATGGTTACAAGATGGATTACTTCTCAGTGATGGTAAGTGGAATAATTCAACTTGACAATATCAATCTGAAATCGGACATGTAGAGTTCCGTTCAGTGTTTGACATTTGAGATACAACGTTAAGGTCAAGCAAAAAATGTCGATAATACACTAGCCTGCAAAACTAAGTATCAGACTTTTAAAATTGCAATAACTTTTTAAGTACACAAGCTATAATTTCGAAATAAAATGGAACCCAAGAAAGAGGTTAACTTTGTACTACAGTTTCAAATAAAGCTGATAAAATTTGCTTAAAAACGTTTTTATTTTAAATATCAAACTTCCTTAACTTAAAAAAACATGATTTATGTTAAGAGAGGCTTTATGGTATTATAAGTTTTTTCAGTTAATGTAATCTCTTTTTATAAACTCGCTTGTCAATGTCGAACTTTTGTTCTAGAAGCATGGCACAGTTACGAACAAATCACACTTGAATATGTTAAGTGTAATTTGTTCGTAAATTATCCAGAAATCGCCTTCGAGATTTATTTTCTTTACTATGTAGTACTCTCAGTACGACCAGCCAGTCCGCACACAGTTTAGAGTGTAGTAAAAAAAGTGGGAGGTATCCCCTCTATTCACCACGCCCTGCCACCGCTGCTCGTCGGATCGATGCTCATTCCTTTGTGCGCGCGCGCCATGTCTGCAAGCAGTGTAATAAAAATCAGTTCTACAATTTATGAGATCAGTGATTTCATAAATTGAGTCTTAGGAACTCCCTGTTTGAACTAGGAGCAATTGCTGACTGTTATATATGAATGCGAGTCTATTGTAAATTCGAAATCCATTGCCTATGTTAGTAACAATACTCAAGAAGCAAAAACCTTAACTCCTTCTATGTTTTTGAGAGTTGGACAGGGTGATAATTCAGGGACGATAATTTTGTACGATGACAATGAGTTGTCTGCGAAAAATTGACATCAATGCCGAAATCTAAAGAAGATTAGGTCAGATTTACCGAGTCGTTTTAGGAGCGAATATTAAGGTTTCCTCTCTCGGAAAAATATAAACGTTCTTTCTTTTATACCTAAGATAGGTGATATTGTAATGGTTGCAAATGATACAGACAAGCGTGTCCAATCACCTTTAGCAATGATTGTAAAGGTAAAACTGGGTAAGGATGTAAATTTGTACGATATCTGTGCTTTCGTACAAAGGAGCTTTATCATTCAGGTCGGTACGGGGAACTCTGCAAAAAGCATCATCTTCTCCCTTTAGAGATGCGTCGCGAAATTGCGGATTTAGTTTTCCTCAATAGGATCGCTTCTGGGGCTGTTGACTGCCCGGAACTCCTATCAAAGATCTTGTTTAGAGTTCCCCCCAAACCCCTTAGGATTGATCCTATTTTAAGTATACCCCCTACTTCTACAAATTATCGGCAGAATGCTTTTCTTTGTCGAGCGAGTAGCAGCTTCAACTCACTATCAAAGCAGGTAAATTTAGATCTTTTTAACACTAGCGAAGCGTCGATTAGACGTATCATTGCTCGTTTGTTTTTTGGAGATAAAAATTAATGTAATAATAACAAACATTTATTTCAGACTTTAAATTCATAGAAGTGTTAGTTATTAACATGTGCGTAATTCGTTATTCTGTTATTTATCATAAGGACCTCATTTAAAAACTATATTTAAGAGATCTTTTTCTACATTAGACAGTGCAAATAGTTTCTTTATTCTTTTAAGTTATGTCTAGATGTGAGGACCTGTAATTGGCTCTTTGTCGCTACTATTCATTTCTAGTATATTAAGATAAGCTGTTGGTCTTCCATGTAACCAAAATAAATAAAATAAATAAATAAATAAAGTGAGGATTGCAAAGGTTCGCACTAGTAAGGGAATGTTAGTGAGACCTATTCAGAAACTGTATCCTTTAAAATCTGTCACAAACTTCAACTACTAAACGACAAGCAGTGATTTTAGTTATAAAATTGTGATACTTTGTTTTGCAGGCGAGTGTATAATGTTTTATTTATAAGTTCATTTAATTGTTATTTTTATTGTGTCTTTTACTCTAATTAGTGGCAATAGAATAGAAAAACACCCTCTGAAAAATTCAATTGTTTAAATAAAGTGGTTTGACATTGACCCTCTAGGTACGAATATTGGAACAAAAACTTAACCAATTTTTATCACCTCGCGCCGCAGTAATAGTAGGTAATATGCAGGCATAGTTGTTTACCAATAAATTAATAATCTTTACTTTACGTTGTCGTTGTCATTCAATTAGTGCATTCTGCATAGGTATTACAAAAAGGATCAATCAGTGTTACACATCGCGTGCTCCTTAAAAAGGAGATTACTACACTACACCACTATGTTGTACTCTTACTTCGTCAAAATCAGTAAGCGAAATTAAGTTCAATATTTTCTTCGTGATAAGATTAAATTTTCCGTCATATAGACTCCGGGGTTCGCTTTCCACCTGAAGTGAGTCGCAGCAAGATCTTATCAGAATTGAATATAAACTAGTCTACCTAGATAATAACTTGTCTAGTGACTCCCAAAATACAAGTGGAAAAAGGACACCTCAGTCTGAATCTAAGCTACAACAAGAAATAGCTTAATTTCGCTCGTAGATAATGTAACTTTAATAATTTCAGCAATGCGCAGGCCTGTAACATAAATTATTGCGAGATCAAATTGTGGCGTAACCCAAAAAGACACCAAAGACGAGCAGTCAACAAAATTCTTATATAAAACCTTAAAAACCTACTGAAAATGCCGTTTATTTGCTTTAAACGACTCCCTGAATTTGAATTATAAAAGTACAAGGAGCAACAAAACAAGCTTCAGATGGAAAAAGTAACCGCTTTTCAACAACATATCAGCGTAGCAAAACAAAGATAACCCGAATCTGCCAAAGAACCCAAGCAACTAAAGTTGGTTTATGCAGAGAACCACAAACTGTTTAGGGTAAACTATTCAATGTAGTCGTTGGTTCTATAAAAGGTCAATAATCATATTCATATATTTATTCATGGCCCAATCTCCCTATTCCATCCATAGGGAAGGCCTGTGCCCCGGCATTGGGGACATTAATAGGCTGGTGATGATGATGAATCATATTCACTAAACCCACAAGGAGACCATTTAAATTGGTATTCAGTGTAGTAGTGAATTTGATGCAGTACCTATAATTGTAGGTGTCGCCTCTATTTAGACACGTCTTGTATATTTTACACCCGACAACACAGGTCAATATCGTGGTAATTGTGCATGTTTTTGTTTCATCTATTAAAGTACAATTACTTTACACTTTACATTGTAACGTCGAGGTCTCGAGCATATTTAGTTTTTATACCAAACACAGTCATTTATGTACTACGAACACCTGCTATGTAATTACTTATTCCTATCTACATAATAGTTGGATATAATGGAACCATTATTGTTAAAATTATCTTCTACTACATTACATTCTACAACAATGTTGACTATATTATTTAATCATTGTATGGCGTGGATTTTCTTAAATTCAATATATGAGTTTAAAATGTTGCGATTTTAATAAGTGTAAACAAAACACACTAAGGTCTACTTTCACCAAAGTTCTTATAATTCAAAATTATTATTGAACTTTCTATCTCTATTGAACTTGAAACAATTGACAAAGATGAAATGATGCGTTAAACTCGATTAAGCCTTAATTTTAATTCAGAAGTTTGGTGCAAGGGTACTTATGGGAATAGTTGACTTGAATACTTTCATAAGACATATTATTTTAACTTGCATGGTCTTATTATTATTATTATTTCTTTCTTTCTAACATTATAGTAATTTATGTTATTTACAGATTGTACTCGCAAAAAACAAGGTACATAGTAGCAATCCCGTAAATAACATTTTCATAAAACAGTTTTTTATATAAAATAGGTAGGTTAATGATTATATGATTATTTATTATTCCGACTCTACACTTGAGCACGTCGCCACTTGGTGGAAATTCGATGACGCGACCTAAGCTGGAGTTGTAAATTTTAAGAAATGCACGTCTAAGATATATTACATATTTTAGGAGCAAAATGGCAACAGCGCAGAAAGATCCTAACGCCAGCGTTTCATTTTAGTATTCTTCAAAGGTTTTGCTTAACTATCGAGGAAAATAGTAGAAGAATGGTGGATTCGTTGGATAAAATTGCAGACGAAACTATAGACGTCGTGCCTCTTATGTCAGAGTTCACTCTCAACTCTATTTGTGGTAAGATTTTGTGCTGCATACATAGGTACTATTTAAAACTCATGTTTCTTTGATTGTATTAATCCCTTGGAAATTTCTTACACATCAATACAATAAGGATAAATTTCTATTTTAACAAATTAAAAATAAAACCTATTGCATTGATAAGGGAACATTTCAAGGATCATTATTTAAAATTCATTTTACGTTTTATAGATTTCAATTTTTAATCCATACACAACACATGTCTTTAGATCTTAATTCAGATATTTTAAGAGCATATCTTTGTATAAAGCTGCTCGAACAATTTAGAAGACTCTTTTCACAATATCAAAGAAACTGTATTATTTTAGGTTAAAACGAAAGAAAATTTATTTAATATTCTCTGCCTGGTCTCTGCCTTTACTTTCATACTCAAATCACCGAACCAATTTTAATGATTTTTTGTAGGGGCTTCAGCAATGTACAACTTTTTGTTACAAAGTAAACCTTTATGAGGAAGGAATGGTGGCACCATTTTGTATCCGCAGCTTTATCTGCATACAATGTTTGTTTTTCCATACAATCCACCATTACCAATCACCCATTACAAGTGAAATTTTTGCGTCAAAGCCTAATAGATAGACTGGATTTCTTTATCTTTAGGTAATAATATATAATATTAAATTTTGTTAAAAATCAGTACCTAAAGCATTTTTCTCCAAAGCCAATGATTAATTTATATTTTATGTAAAGATTCACTGTTATCTGTGGCGTCTGTGACTCGATCTATTGTGATTGGATAATTTTAAATACCCGTAGGTCCATTACACTCCCAGGACTCATTACTGGATTCTACAGTTACGCCTGGAGGGTGAGGGGTAGATCGGGGGGTTGGTTTACCTGGTAGGTACGGGAGCAGGTCGGTTGGCTAGCCGCTCGGACTGCGGTCCGTGGGAATAGTCAGGTGACGCTGTGAAAGAGAAGCCCAGGATCGGCTGAAGTGGGTGCGGGTCGGGTTGCTGGTTGGAGGAGGGGTGATTTGACGTCTGCCACGCTTGCGTAAGCGCATGTCAAAGTATACCTGCACCAACTAATAGCCCTCGAGCTGCTTGCCACTGACCAAATGCACCACGCAAATACCTGAGTCGCAAGGGTTTATTCACAGCAAGCCAACGCGGCGTTGTTCGTTGCCATGGATATAATTTATTTTTTCACCCCGTCGTCGAAAAATAATATAGTAGTAAGAAGAAGTTACAAAAATATATATATAATTTATTTTATTTTCTGTCGATGTACTCAGAAGTAACTCTACACTTCTGAAATCCCTACTATAGTGTGATGAAGATACGATTACATAAAATTTTATGTAATCGTGCACGTGATCCCAGTGAGTCGATCCATTTTTGGGTCCTTGATAATATTAATTACCCGAAAATGGATCGACTCACTGGGACCACGGGTAAATAGTGAAAGGACGTAAAAGTGTTTGGTGGTTTCTATAATATTGTAAGTATTAATGTTATAATTACCTAATAAAAGTCGGCATTTTTCAGAAACAGCAATGGGTACCCGATTTTCCGAGGAAATGGCTGATGCAGGGGTGTCGTACAAAGCTGCAATTCATAGTATAGGAAAAACTGTAGTGAAAAGAGTTACTAATTTAATAATGCACCCAAAATTTGTTTTTAATCATTCTGCTGTAGGAATAGAGCAAAACAAATCAATAGAGATAGTTCAAAAATTTACAAAAAAAGTTATAAACGAGAGAAAAGCATTCATAGAACAATATGGTGTGGAAAATCTGGACGACGACATTGATCAATACGAATTCAACATGAATAGTAAAAGAAAAAGGACAGCCATGTTAGATTTGCTTATTCAGGCGCAAAAGGACAATCTGATTGATGATCGAGGTATACAAGAAGAAGTGGATACCTTTATGTTCGAAGTAAGTTATTGCTATTCTTAAAATGCTTACACTGTTTCTTTTTTTTTACTATTTCATGTTTAGTACATACACTTTTATAATTTAATAATGATGATATGTGTTTACTCATAATTATTATTGTGACTATTGATTAATGATTTCATTTTTATGCCAGGGTCACGATACCACGGCATGTGGTCTCATATATTGTTTGATGCTATTGTCCCACCACCAACAAATTCAAGTGAGTCCATAACTTCTATTATACCTACTTAATAAGTCACAACCGAATTAACCTTGGTCAAAAATATAAGTAAACTATAAAAAAAGAAAAAGCTATTCTTTATATCTTTAAAAAAAACTCACTAGCAAAAAAAACCACACGGACCAGGCAGTAGACGGGACTCGAACCTGCACCCTCCGCTATCCGAACTGATGCACTGACCAGTATGCTATCGCCATATATGTCAGTAAATTAAAGATTATACTATGCAGTGTTCTGTCTCAATCATACACTCAGTTTTTATATTATTGAAGTTATACTTCTTTAGGCGCGTTATGAAAAAATGATGAGAGTGAAATTTTAAGATGCGCGCGCATCACTGTAACATAAAATTTTAACAGCATGAAGTTGGTCGCTTTAGCGACCAACTTCATGCGTTACTTTTGTGTTTACCGCACATTAAGAAAATCTTTCAACAAAATATAAATAGAATCTCTATTTAGTAGGTGCTAACGACTGCATTGTGAAGGCCTATCAAAAGTATTTATTAATCTGGAACAACGGAACCAAAGTGCGATTCAGGAGACTACAGCGCCATCTCTTGACCATTGGTGTAGTAGAACCAAAAACCACATCTTTATTTTTTGTAATAAAGTAACAGTTATAGGTATTCATATTTATAATATTTATCCACATGTTTCTAGTTTGTATATTCGGAATACGTGTTTGAGTTTCATACAAGTGCAAATCACATATGTTCTAATAAATTATATTCAGTAGCGATTTTAAATGAATATTTTGATTATTTATTTATTTTTTCAAATTAAAACTGAACTTTATTGACTGTGTCCTTTTCCAGACTTTTTATTAATTTATTGTAATTAATTATTTGCATGCAATTAAAAACTAATTTTAAACGATGCCAAAGAAGGATAACTTCTCACGCGCCTACATAAGTACACGCACCCATTTTTTAGTTAAACTGTTACTTTTCTTCTATTAATTATACAAACCTGGTCCTGACAATAACTAAAACAAATAAAAAAAGAATTATCCAATTCGGTGCAACCGTTCGGAATCTATATTTTATGTTTTTTTTTATAATTTTCTCCCTCAAGTCTCTTTGAGCTGTGCACGTACATACGCGTATTTTCCAAACAATCTAAACATGTTATTTTGAAATCATGAGTGAGCTTCTTGCAATGTCGTGAAAGTCATTGCAGTTCATAAATGTCGTCATATGTCATGCCAATTAATAGACCAGGGTCGATAATTTTAAAAATGGTAAAAAGTGAAAAAAATATAGTAGGATGAAACCCATTGGAAAAGGCAGAGAATATAACAAAAATGAAAGGAAAAATAAATTACGGGCGATCTGAGGTCGGGAAGGGGGAGGGGGTGAGTTTTTAAGGGTAAAAAACGGTTAATCTTGATTTCCGGTAAAACTGCAAGTCCTATGAAAAAAAGTTAAATGGCAATGTTGTAGTTAATAAAAAGATCTACAACTTTTGTATCGACACTTTTTTCACATAACCTCAAAATTTATGTGAAATATTCGAATAACCGACTTTTTGGTTTTTTATTTTTTACAAAAAAAATATTTTTTCACCTAATTTAGTGAAAACTTACCTTTGTATGTCCCAAACATACAGTAATTTTTTTGATTTAAAATATTCATTTTTTCACCTTATTTTGACTTAATATCACATAATTTAACTATAAAAAAGGACCCTAATTTCAATCGCAAATTCTCACGTCAAAATATCTGCTTTTTTGAAAAAGTTGGTGCGTTTTTTGTTTGTTGAAATCTCTACTTTCTGATGGTATAAAAAAGCATACACTACTATGGTAAATGTTCTCAGAAACTGCAAAATTTATAATGAAAAAAACTCGAATCCGATTTTTTTTTTATGAATCATTCTGTATAATTTTCAGCTATTTATTAAAATGTACACTTTAATTACTCGAAAAACGTAATATTTCATGTTATATTGATAAAAAAAAATGATAATCGAGATATACTACCATAATTAAATAAAGTTAATATTTAATAAGACATCTACAATATTTTGAGAAAGATTTCGAATCTTCTTTAAATTATATGCGTAGTTAGCTATTTATTGCTATTTTAAGATTACCATACCTGAGTGACCGAATTAATTACTTAAAAAAAATTCAGCAGTCACATTTTTTCGATGAAATCCTTTTTAAATCCTATTTTTAATACTTATGGATTTGTAATTTTTTATCGACCTCAGATCGCCCGTAATTTATTTTTCCTTTCATTTTTGTTATATTCTCTACCTTTTCCAATGGGTATATTTTCACCCTACTATATTTTTTTTTTTGGTGTCAAAAATTATCGACCCTGGTCTATAAGATTTTTATATGGTTAAAAAACATACTTACCTCTTTGTTACGAGTATATTTGACCACACTGCATGAAAAACTAACGGTAACTAAAATAAAAAAAAGCTTAAATATATTACAGGATAAAATATTTGTAGAATTGAACACGATTTTTGGTGATTCGGATCGTAATGCGAGCTACGATGACTTGTCTAAGATGCGCTACCTCGAATGCTGCATCAAAGAGTCCCTTCGTCTCTACCCACCCGTACCCTTTATAGGTCGCCGGATTACTGAATCCACCACTCTAGGTTAATATATTATTATTACTTAAAATTAATCAATCAATATCTTTACTTAATAATACAAAACTGAAGAGTTTGTTTGATTGTTTGTTTGGTGAACGCGCTTGTTTCAGAAACTACCGGTCCGATTTATAAAAATACTAGCTGTGCCCCACGATGTTACCCGCGGTTTATTGGGGATTCCCGCAGTAAAACGTAGCCTACGTGTACCTAACTCTATACCAAATTTTATTAAAATCGCTCCAGCCGTTTAGACGTGAAAAAGTAACGAATATACACACTCACAAACTTTTGCATTTATAATATTAGTGTGATATAATAAATAAATAAATGTTTTTGTGTTAGATAGTGTATTTATCGGGATGGCTTTATAATATAACTTTACGACCATAAGGAGCACCAATGAAAAATGTTGGAAAAACGGAGAAAAGTATTTCATTTGAAAGCTTCTGTTGCGTGCGCTAAAGCGCACAAAAACAAAAACATATATGACGGAATTGTTCCCCTTTAAAAGTTCTATAAAAAGGTCTGCAACAGCATACGTCTATCTTTTAAGAGCGACCGACTATAACCTTATCCTTCAAATTAATGCGCTGAAACCTCAGGGCACCTCTAGCAAAGATTACATAATAGTTACTCCGTAACCTCTAGTGTAAAAATAAAAAGACAGAATACATTAACAATACCATGTTTTGCAATAATCAGACACTAAAGGTTTGAATTTTTACTAACAAATTTGTTCAGATGGATACAAGATACCTAGTGGTGTATTCTGCCACGTTCACATCTACGATCTACATCGTCGAGCAGAGTTGTTTCCCGACCCGCTGAAATATGACCCCGACCGCTTCTTGCCAGAGAACTGCATCGGACGTCATCCCTATGCTTACATTCCGTTTAGCGCAGGACCTAGGAATTGTATAGGTAACATTAGATTGTACATAGATATACTTTCTTATAATCTTTCGAGTGGAGCCCGATGGCGCAGGTGGTTAACGCTTTCGGCCTGTGATCGTGAAGGTTAAGCTATTTTCGCAATGGTCGGTCATTGGAATGGAGACGAAAAACTTATTATCATGAGCTCCTTCGTGCTTCAGTAGGTATGTTAAGCAATTGGTCCCAGCTGTATCTGCAGTCGTCGTTAACACCTACCAATCCACCCTGGACCCGTGTGGTGGGTCACTCCCAAGCTCCCTATTCCATTCATAAGGAATGCCGAAGCACTGGCAGTGGTATGAATGTTAATAGGCTGACGATGATAATTTTTTTATACATTCCTATAAGTGTTTTAAGATAATCTTCATAATACCAAGCAACCCTCTGTCTCCTTTCAATAGCAGGGTTAATATTATCTCTATTGACGACTATCCATAAGTTTGAGCAAAAGACATAAGATTTTAGACATGACTCCAGTATAATAATGAGTTTTAATTTCTTACACATTTTATTTATATAAAGTCTATCAATATCTAAAATGCAGAATGTCTACGAAGCAAATTTAAAAAGGTGAAATGGGGGTAGGTTTGTACAGGAAATCAAAATTTTCCACGCAGACTGGCCGCATTGTTTCATCCATAGTTAAATTTGACTTAAGTTAATATTACGTCAATTACATGTGAAATTTTGACAAATGATTGTTTTCCCCTTAATACTTTAAAAATAGTCTTTAACAATGTTTCAAAAAACGCGGCCTGTCTCAGGCTCTAAAAGTACATATCGTCGTTGCGACTTTAAGACCTCCCATGTGTAAAATTCTTCATTGCGAGATATTCAATAAAAACTGTCTACTGAAAAAAATATAAGGAAACTAAATATAACAAAAAATACAAGTGATAAATAGAGGGTTTTATGATTTTTATTTTGCTCTTGTCATTTTAAATAATAAACGAAATTGTAGTAAAAAAATAAAAAAACAATTCAATGTGACACATAAGAGGTTTTGGTTGCGCGTTTTGTATCACATTAGAGAATATAAGTATGTAAAAGGGATTGAGATTCAAAACACATGACATTTAATTATACAAGTCATTTGTTTTTAAAATTTATCATTGCAATGACAATAGTATATAATAGTGGTTTTATGTATTGCTCAATAGTGGACTGAACACTGTCCACCTCCATCATGGTGTGCCCTTTTTTATGTTTAATAGGAAAGGCGTTGACCAAAATCTCGCCTGATGGAAAGCGATTATGAGGCCTAGGATGGTACACGCCTGCCTAGAAGATGCCTGTTCACTCTGGCCTTGAAGATGTCCAGATTATATTGGTCCGGGAAAACAGACCTCGGTAAAGAGTTCCACTCCCTAGCCGTTCGCATAATGAAAGCGGAAGTAAATCGCTTCGTGCGAATGGGAGGAACTTGGACAACATAAGGGTGAAAGTCCTCGCCGCGCCTGGTCGTCCGGTGGTGGAAAGAGGAAGGGGGAATCAAATTATGTAGTACCTCCGCACACTCTCCGAAATGTAACCGATAAAACACCGAGAGGCAAGCTACACGTTTTCGGTGGTCAAGGCTCTGGAGATTAGCCTCAACGAGAGCGTCATTGCCTATGAGTCTCTTCGCATGGTATTCCACCGAGTCCAGTGCGTCCAGCTGATACCGAGCAGATCCATTCCAAAGGTGACAACAGTACTCCAAGCAGGAGCGAACTTCGGCTCTTTAAAGCTTAAGGAGCTGCTCAGATGTAAAATATCGCCTGACCTTAGAAAGTATTCCAAGTTTATTGGCAGCAGTTTTAGCAATGGACTCGATGTAGCGACCGAAATTGAGGCTGAATGAGATGTCCAGACCTAAGAGCTCGAGATGGTCTGTAACCGGCACATTTCGGAAAGTCGGAGTCAGATGGAATGGACTCCGTTTCGCCGAGAAGAGACAGGCCTGTGTTTTAGAGGGATTGAATCCAACCAAGTTGGCTTCACCCCAGTGGGAAACAGCTTCCAGGGTTGCATTCACTCCCTCCACCATCGCCTCCCTTAAAGATCGGACGTCTGCATCAGACTTCACATCAGGCAGGTATCTCTCCGAGACTGTGCTGTCGTCTGGGCTAAACGGTACAACCGCGATACCAAGGTTGAATGTATGTTATATTTTTTACTGAAAAGATCTGTATTTAAGAAGTAATTTGTGCTAAGTTTCATCTCCCGGAGATGCGTAGTTTCTTTGAAAAAAAAATATGAAAATCGAAAATATTTCGTCAATAATGACTAAACTTTGACAGGTTTGTCATATATTGTACTTGTTAGTTTTGTTCAAGCAAAGGTAATGGGTTTATAGAGCCTTGAATAAAACGTTTTGATTTTAAATTTTTTAATAAATTTACTGTAAACTTGCAAACAATATCTGATAGTTTGGCTCAGCTTTCCATTATATGTAATTGAGTTGCAAGCTGAAATTTTTGTCACGCAAAGTATTAACTATTATAAACACGTACACGAAATCTTTTAAGGCGGAAACGAATAGAACTCGAGAAAAAAATTATTGAAAATTAATGTTTTTGTAGGTTATGAGTCAATTTTGACAGAAATTTTGATCAGTGCTGCCATTTTTTTATGCAAAAATAACATGTTTCTCGTTGTCTATGGTAAATATAAGTTTATTAAGTTGGTGCTATTGTCAAAATGTGACAATTTACCGCCATTAATGAGATCTGTCAGTCAGTGTTTGTGTTCGTCACAATTGAGAGCTTTTTCGTACTCCTGTTGATATTAACATCGTCTGACTACCATGGCATCCTCAAAGCCTTCGGCCTCGAGTTCTGCTGTCCCTTCGCCTGAAGAGTCGAGTGTAGTGCGAGTTTTGGACTCTAATGAGCCGCTTGTGTGGTGATACTTCACACTAGGTTAGGTTAGGTTAGTGTTGTGACCTTAACGCGCGAGCCGAGCGAGCGAAGCGAGCGTGCCGCGGGAGCGGCCGGCGAAGCGCCAGAAAGAAAAATTCGTTAATAGAGACTCTTTCTACAAAAAAATCTAGGTCCTGGAAGTACAGTTTTACCTTTAAAACCCCTCTAATTTTTTATAAATATCATTTCTGTAAAAAAAACGCCGGGAGGGGGGGGGGGGTTACCCTTCCCTCTGAGGAGTCTTCTCTTATACCTATCCCCCTGAAATTCCACTACATTTAACAGATTTAATGAATTTTTAGGTTAGGTAAAAAAAAAACTGCATTTCCGCCAAAAATCTTTTATGGCGGGGTTGTCGGGGAGAGCCCCCCCTCCCCCTCCCCTACAAATTACCCCAAAATTCGATTACATATAATGGAATTAAGTACCGATAGTTTAAATGTATACTTAAACAAAGGTCAAAAACCCCTCCCCCTACCTTCAACCCGGGGAGGGTTGAAGGTAGGGGGAAGGGTTCCCCATCCAAATTCTCTAAAATGCACAATAATGTAACTTTTATAAATTTATAACCTCAAAATGTCTTTATTGCATATCTCTGAAACTATGCGTTTCCGGGGGGGGGTGGAAGTAGTTAGGGGGGCTTTGGGGGGCTCCCCCTCCCTCCCATCCTCCAAAACCCCAAATTTTTGTATCGCGTTTGTATCTTCTTTATTGCATATCTCTAAAACTATGCGTCTCCGAGGGGGGGGGGGAGTAGTTAGGGGGGGTTTGGTAGGTCCCCCCCTCCTCCCCCCATCCTCCAAAACCCCAAATTTTGGTATCGCGGTCGTACCTTCTTTATTGAATATCTCTGAAACTATGCGTCTCCGGGGGGGGGGAGTAGTTAGAGGTTAGGGCCCCCCCCCCCCTCCCCCCCCATCCTCCAAAACCCCAAAAGTGTGGTATCGCGGTTGTACCTTTTTACCATATTCAATTGCCTTCGTTGTGCCAAATCACTTAGGGCACTCGACGAAATTCGGTTTCTGTTCTACAAACATAAAAATAATAATACACTTAATCGTAGTTGGTAAATTTTGACAATGGTCTATTAAGTAAGATGTAAATTCATTAGCAGTTACATTACCGTCTGCTTTGTGCCCGCAGTAAATTGATACATTTTTAGATAAAACATCATAAACAGTGAAATTATGACATTGTAACTTCAATTTATAGAACAGGGCACTTGCCAATAGCTTTGGAGCAAGCAATACACTTTGCACATCGACTGTTATAACCACAGAGCGAGAACCCGTCGAAGCTAACGTAATTTTTATATTTCTACCCCCATCTAACACCTACAATCGGAAAATAATCACGCGACCTATGCATCCCTCTCATTCCAGTGCTTCTATTGGTTAGTTAGTTTTAAAATGAAACCAATAACAATTTTTACCTATCTAGCGCTTTTACACATAAGATATTTTAAATGCCAACTTTACTTGAGCAAGCACTTAGGATATATTGAATAAAGTAAATAAATAGAAATTGAAAAGACTTATTCACACGAGAGTTCTTGCTTTCGATGTAGCGCCAAAATTTGAAATAAACCCGTATAAAAAAGGTATTTCGACAAAAATGACACATAGGAGGTCTTGAAGTCGCAACGACGATATTAAGCATGCAACCTCGCTATTTTAGACCCCCAGTTCAATAAATTGTTGGTATTTCTGTTTGCAGGCCAAAAGTTCGCTATGATGGAAATGAAATCATCTTTATCAGCTATACTGCGGCGTTTCGTGTTGAAGCCCGTCACACAACCTTGGGAGTTGTGCTTAGCGGCTGATTTGGTACTACGGAGTACCAAACCCATCTACGTCACTTTCGAAAAACGAAAACCTGCACACCACGATTAGTTTTGGTATTTTTAACCAAGGAAGTTCTCAATTCGTCATTATATTGTTTTTCGCGCATATCTCCGACTTTTTTGTTTGGAAAATTTTGTTAATGAGACGAGACCATATTAATTTGGTGAAGATTTGCTAAATTTTTTCGGAGATAAACACCGGAACTCATCAAATATGAACAGTACACACATAGTTTTTGTTTGCCTTCATGAAAAAAAAAACACTAAAAATTAAGAATTATTAGAAATAATACATATAATTTAGTAGTTTTATTTTTATGAATTCGGTTTTATGAATGACTATGAATCTACCTGATTCCCATTCATCAAAATTATTATTAATAAAAATTTTAGTTAGATAATCGTCCCACTACGCAAAAAAATACTTGGATAAAACCTGTAAATTATATGTAAAAAAAACTTGAAGGCAAAAAATAACTAAGAAAAAAAATGGCAGATGAATGATCTCTTTATAGGTATAGTTTCTTTTGCAATTTGCAAAGAATCTCTTAGCAACTCATTTTAGACTGTTTTACTATAGTACCTACTACTCCAAGTAGGTGCTTATACCAGAATTTTACCGGGAGAAATAGTGGTGTTTACTTTCTTTATGGCGCGATAAACTGTAGGCGTATAAAAGAGGAAGGTATATTGTGTGTTAATATGTGTGTGGACAAAAGTTATTTTAAACTTTAAACACTTTCACCCTTATTAATAAACAAGGAATAAGCTTAGACTAGTTTCGTCGTGTTTTGTTCATATCACTCAAATGCCATTTCTCATTCAATAGACAGAGTCAAAACATGGAGTAACAAAACCAAGCGTAGTCCTCGTTTATTAATAAGGGGTATATGCTCACTTTTGCTATGGAGTTTAATTATATAAATCACTATTTGAATACTTATTTTTGACATTATTTTGATTTATTTGTTGTAATAGCAACTACAGTAATATGCAGTCTGTGACAAATTCTTAGGACTACCTATTTTCTTAAAAAAAGGAAGTCCTGTGACAGATGGACTGAATCAGACAACGATATGATATCATTACAATCAGAGGCAATAATAGAGTTTCGTTTGCTACATGTTGCCCACGATATTTTTCGTAAGTTTTTATCGCAGAAAGATCACTGATAATTTTACATTACCACTTCACCATAACCAGAAAATTATCTTTTCAATAATGCTTTGGTTTCTACGTGTGAAAAGCTTTATAATGACTTTTCCTTTTTTGTAATAAAACCTCCAAATTAATTATCTTTAGGTTTATTCTTCAAAATAATTAATAACTAAAAAGAAAAGGCGAGAAACTGTTTTAACGCTATATACTCCTGTAGAGAGTATTTGAAGTGTAATTTAAATAAGACTATGTATTTTTGCATTGTATTTTATTTTTAATTTTTGTACGCTTTGGGTTCTCGGGTCTAAAGTGCTTTCCCAATCCTTTAACGCAATATTAATCCAAGGCGTAAATACCATTTTCAGAAATTATTATCTTAACCTGACATGGTTTATTTATACTAATAATTAAATGACATACCGCATAGACTGGTAGAATATATGAACAAAAATAACAACATTAAATTATGTACCTATAATATATTCATTGAAATAAATTCGTATCTATTTATGTAATAAACAAAGGAAATATTCTTTTGTCAAGGTTATTATTGGCATTCTAAACTTGTTCATGTAGTCGAGTTTTTACTTTTATAAACTATTAATAAATATTTATTATCATGTATGCATTTGGAAACGAATTATAAATATGATGTAATTTTTTGCTTATGAGCTTTTTGTTTTCCGGTATCTAATTTGAATTAACATTCTAAGTTTTTATATATTTTTTAAGCATTTAACTGCTAGATGATTAAATGTAAAGATAATCGCAGGTAAGCTTACTCATCATACCTACCTACCTACAATGCGAAGAGATGGCGCTGCCTTGCAGCCTAAGAAATGTTAGAGAATATTAGGAATATTAAAATTATAATGTATTAATACAATTAGGGCCGCGGTAGCATAGTGGTCAGTGCATCCGTCCAAATAGCGGAGGGTGCGGGTTCGAGTCCCGTCTGCTGCCTGTGTCTACGTGAAATATTTTCAAGCAAAATTTCCTAAGTTTTTCTTTTTTAGAAATAAAAATCTAACAATTGAATTCCTAAATAATTATTTTATAAAAAGTAAGTTTATGTTTAATTTAAATAATAAAGATAATAATTATGAATTACTAACTTTAAGTCACATTAATCTTAGGTATATTTCCCTTCATTGTATAACAATAGAAGTGAACCACAGAGTTAGCTAAAGTTAAATTTTACTATAACTTTAACCGGCCTCGCTTAAACAATTAATTGTCACTGTCAAGTTATGATTTATGGCCTCATTTTGACTATTGTCAAATGGTGCAACCCGTTTTTACCTAACCGGTACAATAAGTGAACAGTAATAGTTAAACCAAGTTGGTGCAGATCACGCGACAAAACATCACTTTGACAAACATTAAAGGACACCCGGCATTATGTACCAAAGTTGTATACTTTTTTAATTTTTTTATCGGTGTTTCATAATTGGGTAACGTCATGGGTAACGTAGTCTGGCAATATTTGTCATCAGCAGCTACCTATCAATGTCAAATACGTAGGTTTGTCAATATAACCTCTTTAAGTAGCCGGGTCGTCAAAAGAAATAACGGATAAAAAGGTAATCACAGCAGAGAGCATTCACAATCACAGTACGCGGGAGCGGATGCGAAATGCGAATGATTTTTTTTGTTTGTATTTTAGGATTGTGAAATTGACATTTGGTTTTTTATTTAGAAAAAGCAAAGGAATCATGGTTTTTACAGTCACGAGTAATATTTTGAAGTAAAATTCTGTCCCTTGAAGATTTAGGGTTTCCATATCAAAAAATATTAATCATTATATAACTTCTTTCCACGATTCACTAAAAATAAGGCAAAAGTAGTTTTATGTAGCAAATAATTTTGGCTTTTTTTTGAGACCAAATTCAACTGTATACAAGTTTAGCATTTGTTCTATGAAAAGTGCCAGGTCTCCTTTAATTGACGTCTGAGTGTTGCCGTTGGAGAAGTATCATCGTGTCTAAATAGACAATGCGTAAATACGCATCTTTTCAAAAAGAGACATGATGAAGATGAGTTGATACTATACTTTTAACACCGGTGATCTGTCGTCTATTCGAAAGATCCGAAAGAAGTGTCTTATGATCAGCAGTGCTATTCTGTAAGAATAAACTCTGTTTCCGCGTCGTAATCCGCGGTGAGATTCAAAATTATAAAACGAATTTCAAATAAATTAGAAATCACACTGGCAAATTCTTCGGTCAAAAGTCAGTTTTCTCTTACACAATACACGTATGTATATAATAGCGTATTTTCCAAAATTTTGAAAACTGCTTATACTTATTTAAAGATTGGGACAAACGGTTTAACACAAAAATAAATATAAATTAATTAATGTCTTTTTTCTCCATTAAACCAATTAAAGTTAAATTTATTTTTAATGGTTTTGAATTTACCGCCAAAACGTTCGGTTTGATGACGTCTACTGTGTGACGTCAACTTTGTGTATGCTATGTAATCAACTGAAGGTCAAATCATTAACTTTTTTTACGTTCGGGGTAAATTTATAGTATAATACTTACAAAAAATATTTTAAAAGAAAAGAAATCGTCCAATAATTATTCCGTAATCACAGATCGTCCTCAGACTACATCTGTGTTAAAATTCTTTACACAAAGTTGACGTCACACAGTAGACATCATCGAATCGAGCGCTTTGGCGTTAAATGGGTCGATCAACTTTTTCTTGTTCCGTGGTTGTCCTCAAGAGTATACGAGTGTGGACTCAAGAAGAAATACTAATATTTAAGGTTTAACTCCTTAAACTACTTATAAGATAAACTGGCATTTGATTTACGTGTCAATAAATCTAATATAAATATATTTTTCTTGAAAAATAATGGTTACCCAGGGGATGAAACTGTGCTTCCCATACAAATCAGAAATGTCCCTTTTACAAAGCTAAAATTTTTACGCACTGTGCTTTAAAAATAGTCAATGAAAATCTCTTAATTAATATTAGATAAAGAATAACAATATTACTAACTATCTACTACATCGTTATTAGATTTTTACTTGTATTCAGAATTATTGAAATTCCAAAATATCTTTACATCTGTGTCCTCAGTGGTTTCAATTATTTGGGGTCCCCTGGCAAACTAACTAATATGCAACAAGTGCAAACGCGATAGCGATGTTAGTAGGCTCGACCAATCAGGAAAGAGACTAGGTATCATACAATCACGGCCAAGGTTGCTGTTCTCTCGATTTCGCTTGGCCATTTCGTCCGCGACTGCGTTAGAGTCAACGTGTGTTAATTGGGTGTCCGCTGGGAGACCAACCAAAAACACGTAAGTATTTTACCTAAAAATAGTAATTTGTACCTTAGTGCAAGGTAATTGTTCTAAAAATATTATGAAGATGTATTTTTTTACAAATTTCCTCAATTTCTTCCTTTTCTGGTTAGTTTATCGCCAAATATCTCCTGGGTAACCCGTCCCTTGGGTCACTATAGCGGTTACCCAAGAGACTTTTTGGTTACCTAAGAGACTTTGATTATTTTTGTTTATTTTGTTAACAGATGATACCTAATCTTCTTCAACCTTTATCCACCCACTGCTGGGTATAGGTCTCCTCCATGGTGCGCCAATTTGCTCGGTGTTGTGCGATCCGGATCCAATTTCGTCCTGCTACTCTTGTGATGTCATCGGACCATCTGGCGGGCTGCCTACCAACGTTTCTGCGTCCTGTTCTAGGCCGCCACTCCACAATAGCTCGACTCCACCTGTCGTCCGTTCTGCGAGCCACGTCACCTGCCCACCTCCACTTCTTCCCTGCGAGTTCGCGAGCAATGTCGGTTAGTTTTGTTCGTTTTCGTATGCCCTCATTGCGTACAAGATCTTTCAGGGATATACCGAGCATGGCATGCTCCATTTTTCTCTGAGCGACTTGCATGGTGTGGACATGTTGCCTTGTCATAGTCCAGGTTTCGGCTCCATAAGTCAGAACAGGAAGAACACATTGGGTGAATGCGCGACGTTTGAGGAAATGTGGCATCTTACTTTTGAAGATGTCGGATAATTTGCTGAACGCTGCCCAACCCAGTCCAATACGACAGTCGATTTCTCTAGCCTGTCCGCTTTTATCGAGTGTAATGAGCTGCCCCAAATACAAATAGTCTTCCACCCGTTGGATACGATTTTCTGCTACTACTATGTATTCTATACTTGGGTCTTGGCACATTATTTTTGTTTTTGAGGTGTTCATGTGGAGGCCAACCGATATCGAGACGTCGTATAGTTCCTGCAACATACATTGCAGGTCCGCTGTGGTCTCAGCAAAGACTATTATGTCATCAGCGAATCGCAAGTGACTTAAACGCTCTCCGTTTATGTTGATACCCCTATTCGACCAGTCGAGGAGCTTAAATATATCTTCCAGACATGCCGTGAACAGTTTGGGTGAGATGGTATCCCCCTGTCGTACGCCTCTCTTTACAGGGTTGTGTTCCGAAAGATCATGGAGCTTGAGTTGAAGTGTGGCTGCATTGTAAATCTCTTTAAGTACATCGATATAACTCGTATCTACCTGACTCCTTTTAAGTGCATTTATGACGGCCCAATGTTCCACAGTATCAAAAGCTTTTTCGTAATCAACAAAACCCAGAACAACTGGCAGATTATATTCATTGCACTTTTGTATAGCTTGTCTTACTGTAAATACATGGTCAATTGTTGAGAAGCCACATCTAAAGCCCGCCTGTTCTCTAGGTTGGTAAGCGTCAAGTCTAGCAGTAAGACGCAGAGTGATTATTTTGGTAAAAAGCTTGTATATGTGACTGAGAAACCAAATTGGCCTGTAATCTGCTAAATTGGATACCTAATAATTTATTACAAATAAAACATGTTCAAACTCTTCTTCGGCGGCTATCTGGGCCCACTTAGAACCAATATTGACTGAAATTCGAAACAAATATCCTCAAATTAAAACTATTCATTTCTTCAGTGATGGCCCCTTTAGCCAGTATCGTCAAAAGCAAAATTTTTATCTATGCTCAACCAAGACTTTTGATAAAGGATTTTCATCTGTGACCTGGTCTTTTTTCGAGGCAGGCCACGGAAAGGGCCCCGCAGATGGAGTCGGAGGTTTCCTAAAAAGGACAGCTGATAATATAGTAGCTACCGGTAAAGATATTCATAACGCTGAACAGTTTTTTGAAATGCTTCGTGGCCAAAGCAAAATTAGGCTTTATATGATTTCTCAAGAAAGCATAGATGCTGTTGCTGAACAATTGCCGAAAAATATCAAACCACTCGTGGGGACCTTGCATGTGCATCAGATCTTTACAGATGTCCGTGAAGAGTTGATGTACAGAGATTTAGGATGTTTCTGCAACAGAGGTTTTTGCAACTGTTTCCAGTCAAAAAAATATAGACCTATCATTGTTTCTGATGATAATAGAAGCAATAAGATAGATAAGAATAGCAAACAGACGGATAAGAAAAGTAAGAAGACAACTGATAATAGACAAGAAAAAAAAGACTCTGATTCTGAGGACGACATTCCTCTAAGCACTGTTCTGACGAATTTGTGTAAGTTTCGTGGCAAATCGGTATACAATATAATATACTCGCCGAAAAATTCTGATGATGAAGAACAACAACCTGAGTCATCAGGATATAAAACAGCTTTCCGCATAGTAGATTTTTTACTAGTGAATGTACGCAATTCCAAAGGTAAAAACTACAGATACGCATGCGTTATTGATGATTTAGATGACGATGGTGAGATAAAGGTTACATTCCTGCGGTGTGTTAATAAAGGCATTGTGTTTCGTTTGAACACAAGCGACGTAGCATATATCGATCACACCGATATAATTACTATTATACACCATAAACCAGAGTGAGACCAAATATGGTGAAGTTTATTATAAATTCAAAGAGGTCCTTGACGTTTTTGAAAATTGACATGTAAGACAATTCTTACAGATTTCAATAAACTTATATATAGTTTGTTGATTATTGTGCTAATAATTTGTGATAATGTAAGGATGTGATCTCAATTACTAAGAGGCTGGTTTTATCTAGATTTTGTTAATTTCTTGAGCTTAAATTTGTGATGTTGGTTAGAGTAAATTCATGTAGGTTATAATTTCCTCACTACAGTTAGTGTTCATTATTTAGTAGACATTAAGACTGATTTCCAAGACTGTACGACATTTTAATTAAATAAAGCAAATATTTCTAAGAATTGTTTAATTTGACCGTCTGCTACTTCTTAGTGCATGTTACTTACTACCTACTATACAACGTCTAGAGCTCTCGTTAGTTGTTGCCGTAATATATTGTCTCTTGAGTCACTCAATTTGTCTCTTGGGTCACTAAGTGTCCCTTATTTTCAGAAAAGATGTCTTTATTTTTTTGTTAAAAAAAAATAGGTAACTAATATTTTTTGTAAGCAGCAGTTATTTATACTTGAGACATTTAAAATCTAAATAAAACTATTTGAGTTTAACAGCAGAATCGCAGGTAATTTAATAAAAAGTAATTTGTTTTTATCATTGGTTACCCAAGAGACAGTAAATTAATAGTTTCTAAAAATGTAATAGCTTTTTAACATATTTTTTTCTGCATTAGTAGTTTGAACGTCTTATTAATACTGTAAGTGCGAAATGTTATTGCAAAAGTATATTAATACAGTAGAAAATTGTAGCTTTGAAACTGGTTAGTCAATGGACATAATTCGAGGTTCATCTTTGATTTTAATGTGAAAAGGGTATAAATTTAAGGTTTACTTCACGCCACATATTGTCATTGAAATATTTAATACATTTTTATTTATTTTTCGATAAAAAAACTAAATAATATTGAAATTATATTATTTTGACTTTTTGGACGTTTGATACAAGAAAAAGTTGATCGACCCAAATACAAAACCATTAAAAATAAATTCAACTTTAATTGGTTTAATGGAGAAAAAAGACATTAATTAATGTATTTTTATTTTTCTGTTTAATCATTTGTCCCAATCTTTAAGTATAAACAGTTTTCAAATTTTTAGAAAATACCCTATTAATGCCGCCGTAAACCTGACATAATTTCCCAACATTTGTATAAACTTAATTAAAGTAAAAATCTTATCTGGAAGACTTGATTTATTAATATAAGTAGTATAAGAATTGGACACTATTTAATTATGTATCGCAAAAGTTTGCATGCCAAAAAAAATATTCTCATCACAGTGAACACTTCTTAAGATTACTTAACATATTACTTATGTATATTGTGTAGGACATGATCCCAAAAACCATTCGCATCACAATCAACACTACTTACCATAACTTAACACAATTACATGTGTATTTTCATGAATATAATGATGCCAAAAGGCATTTGCATTAAAGCGTGTTATAGTACGAGGTTCTAGTGTGTACGCTTTGTAAGCGTCGTCGCGTCGGTCGGCTCGCTGCAAACCGCACGCGTACCGGTCGCAGCAGGTTAGCGAACCACGTACACACTATGCTTTTTGGTTACAGTGCATGCAACGGTTACGGTTACAGCTCGCTAATGAGTACCCGGCTTAACGTTGCACAATTTATTCAATGTTATTGCTTCAGTAATGTCCAAATACGTGAAGGATACAGTCCCATGCACTGCTCGCATCACAAAATAAGTCATAGGATTATATTTGACGTTATTACTTCTGCAATTTCGAAGTACGTGAAGGATACAGCCCCATTGTGCTGTTCGCATCACTAAAACATGTCATAGGAATATAGTTTACAAGATTATAAAAATGCTAATAAATGCCCAAGTAATAATCGTTGTGTTCTGTTCGCAGCAGTGTTAATAGCAAAAAGGTACTTGATATTGTTTAATTTTTGCCTTGAACTTTGCATTTGATAAGATTTATGTAATGTAAGGCATAGATGAATAATTGGTCTCGCTTCGTCGAGTGAAGCGAGACCAATCATTCATCTATGATGTAAGGTACCTGTGAGTGTGAATCCAACAAACTACTTTTTGGTTTTTACTTTCTATCTTCCGCAAATATTTAATCTTTAGGTATTTGAAGCCCTGTATATTTTTTTTTCACTCTTTAAATATATATGTCGAAAATTCAAGAGTATTATTATTATTATTTAAATGTCCAGACTCGATATCGCTGGCATGGCCAGCGGTTATGCCTGGCTCGTCCATGGAGAAGTTTGATTGAAGAATAAAAAGTAATTAAATGTGCAACACTATTTTTTAATAAATCACTTTTAACGATTACAGTAACCTTGTTTTATTTTTAACAATTCACTTCACTCACAAATCACTTTAAACAATCACTTATCTTAATAATACTAAATTCAATAATATTTTTTAAAAGGTAAAGATGAACAAAGGGGCAGAGCTTTTGCTCACTACCGTTCAGTTCAAGAATCAGACACACAGTGCCCAAGCCTGTGCCCCGCCATCGAACGATCGCACCGCCCCTACTCCACGACCACTTGGAGCGTGGACCAATGGCGTTGCGCCGTTCCGATCACGCGATATCGTTAACAGACAAATAAGTCTCCTAATTATAATCTAACTAAATTTAGTAACAAATAGCTACAGATTTTCAACTTTAAATTAACAAAATAAATTAAATGAATTAATCAATACAAAACTTTAGCTTTATAATAAGTGTCAATCAACTTTCGTGTCATAATGTCAGTCACATGACTTTTACAATAAAAGTACTTAAACCGATGGTCTAAACCATCGATTACAGTAAATAATTTAAATGAAAATGCAAACATTATTTCCTCTTAATTTTAGAATAGACAGTATCATAATTATTAATCGCTATTTTGCCTTAATCAACTATGGTAATAACGTATGCGGCGACATATATAAAGTGCTATTATTACTTTTATAAAAAAAAACAATAAGCCGGCCGCAACACGAAAATAGGATAATGACATTCAAGTTGGCACTGAGCAGAAACAGGAACTGTCAAAAATTTTTTTAACAATCCAACAATCGTGACTGGCCGTACGTGCAAAAGCAGTATCAGAGGTTAAGATTCCTCCAAACAGTTGTTAAATATGGCAAAAGCTGTGTTCCTGTCAAACGGATAACTTTCATTGCTTCCAAATTATTGTAAGCGACACGAAGTTCGCCGGGTCCGCTAATATTTTTTTAATAATATTGTCATCTCTACAAATATCAAATACGTATAACCGTATGAATTGCAAATTTAGGCTTAATTTCAGCAATGTTTTGATGATGGCATTAATTAATTCCATTCAGGCTCCTGAGTCCCCCGATGCCCCCCCTCGTACATCAAGATTTATACAGTACTAAAAGGCATAGGGTCAAATCTAGCAGCAACGATCTAAATAATAATGTCTTTAAATATCTAGGTTTACTTTTCCTGTAACCATATATATCATTTCATTTACCTTATACTGAAACGAATGGTGTAAATATTTAAAAAGAAAAGACATTTTCAATATCAAAATGCCTTCCCGTCCAAAGGCGCGTTATTATCGGTCGATAATATCGGATGCGTTATTGCGATATTTCGACATACTTCTATTGTGTCGTTTCGTTATTATCGCGGCTGTGTGTAACTTCGTAGCCGTTCGCTTTTATGATGTACTAAAAACAATTATCACAATAACGCGTTCGATATTATCGACCAATAATAACGCACCTACAGGGGGAGGCCAGTCCCCCTAGCATGAGCACGGCTATATAATATATAAGCTCCTTTTTATCGTGCTCAATTGGTTATATCAAATTACTATGGATTTTGACAGTTTAATATCGTTGGTTGGAAGCGATAAAAACGTGATATAATGTTAATTGTTTTGCATGAGCATGCTACGAGGGTTGAAGTTATAACGTATCATTGTAACTTTTACATGAAATTTCCAACACAGATTAAAAAAAATCCATGAATTAATTGTAAATGTGTTCAAAGTAAACGTGTCTTCTTCGGACTGAATATTGTCCTTTTACTGGAATATATGCCATTTTAAAAGTCTACCCGTTAGTTAATATCTCTTCTGATTTTAAGTTATGGTGGTGTCCAGACGCAAAGATAGCTGGTACAGCAGAGTTACCTGCCACACCAACCATCCTCACCTTTCCAGCCTGTACATTGCTTGTTCACGCCTCTTTTAAAGGATCCAGGGTTGATTGTTTGTGGTTTGAATTCCATTTGCGGATAGTAAGACAAAGTAATAGCATCGTAGGCATCGTAGTGCCACAATGAGGTAATGCAGGTGACAGTGCATTGCAATCATCGATTCGGGAGTTAGCCGCAGAGTTTTGCCAGTAATCTTTGATAATGTTCAGATGGAATGTAATGAGCTTATATTCCATCTGGACATCTCAGTGTGAATGGAGTCTAGCGATGGACATTGCTAATGAGGCAAAAAAAGTTTAAAAGAAATACCACCAAAAAGTGTTAAAGTCTGTGCGGAAAGAGAATGGGATTTAGATTGGAGGGCACTGTAGTGCTTTTCTACCGTATTTGTAAGGTTTTACCCCTTTTAAACATGATTAAATACAAAAAACCCCAAGAAATCACAACAACAAACAAATCCGTATCAATAAAAAACTTTGACGTTTTACAGATTGCTGGGTTTGATTGCCAAATAAGAATCTTAATGTTAGTTCCGTTTTTTGCCACGCCCATTCTCTTTCCACACAGACTCTATAGTCCAAGATTTTTAGATGTCCGCTCTGCATAAAATCCTTCTACGTTATTTTTCGATTGGATTATGTCGGAGGGTGGCCCCTAAGTATAAAACCGAGTTTCTGTCGCCCGAAACTGCGAGCGTTAGCCGCCATCTTGGAAACCGTTTTTTTGCATATATCTCGGAAACGGTAAGTTTTACGTTAAAAACCGAAGAGATCTTTTTTGTAGAGAACAAAATTTACCATCTTTTTTATACCAAACTTTTCCCCCTATTGTTGATATTTTCCGATATATTGAAGTAAAAAAACCAAATTTTTTGTTTTTGTAAAGTAACTCAATAATTTTTGGAGATACGAAAAAAATGTCGACAAACGAGTGCGTATGTGTATGCAAAGCCGCGGAGGCCATTTGCCCGATGTGTTATTCCATAAATAACCCTATCCTATGTACTTTATGAATCAATAAAAAAATTACAATCAAAAGACTAAAAACTGTGTTTTCTATTTAATTCAAATCTTGCGTTAATTTTGGGACACCCTTTATTTGATAAATTTTATTCGTCGATGTTAGATTTATAAAATTTTTCACTGTTTACAACCGGAAGGGCGATTTTGGAAGGTTTGCGAATTTTCTTCTTCCAAGTCCATGTTACCTGCATCCAACTTTAATTCAAACATTTTTTTCGTATCTCCAAAAATTATTGAGTTACTTTACAAAAACAAAAAATTTGGTTTTTTTACTTCAATATATCGGAAAATATCAACAATAGGGGGAAAAGTTTGGTATAAAAAAGATGGTAAATTTTGTTCTCTACAAAAAAGATCTCTTCGGTTTTTAACGTAAAACTTACCGTTTCCGAGATATATGCAAAAAAACGGTTTCCAAGATGGCGGCTAACGCTCGCGGTCTCTGGCGACAGAAACTCGGTTTTATACTTAGGGGGCACCCTCTGATATAATCCAATCAAAAAATCACGTAGAAGGATTTTATGCAGAGCGGACCGATTTTTGGTGCTAAAATTCCTGGACTACTATTTAACTGTGATCTTCTACAAGATGGAGGTTATATAAATAATACAATTTTTATTTAATATTATTTTTTACATATAAGTGACATAGATCTAAGAAAAAACACAAAAGGTAAAAAAAACATAGCCTGAACTAGGAATATCCTGTGTGTCAGGGAAAAAGTATTAACTACATTAAATAACCAATAGCACAATAAAACAATAGCAAAAACAAAAATACCAAATCTTCATAACTTTAATTCAGCATGCAAAATTTCGCGTCATTGCAGAATTGTAAACTGGGTAAATACCGCTTAGTTGTCCTTTATGTTTATTCATTTTTAACATACATATTGGCGTCCGCATTAATAATTAGGTTTTAATGTACGCTTCGGTCATACTCAAAGAAAATATATGAAAAGTACTAAAATATAACTAACAGGTGACGCTCTTAGGCTCCTTCATAATCTATGGAGTTAACGTAGCGTTTTCGGCCATCTTTTTGGCAGGACAGTCAGCATCGCCCGTTTTATGTTTACACTGCTTTTAGGAATGCAGACATGTTTTGGTGGTTCTTCTTTCTTCGAGCACTCTTTAATGGTGTGACCTAATTCACAGCAGTGACCGCAGGTGTTGTTCTCTTCTCGATATGTTTTATATGCGTGACCATACTGCTGACACCTGTAGCACCTAGTTACTAAGGTAAAGTCTCTTACCGGGCACGAAGACCAGTTTATAAAGACTCTCTCTTTATTTATGAAGGCCTTCCGTACGATTGCTGGAACTTCTATAATATAAAAAAATGTAAATATTTCCAACACACACCAATTAGCCTAGCCCTAAAGAAAGCACTGTAGGCTTGTGTTATGGGATACTAGGGTAACGGATAGAATACATATACTGATACATATATAAGTATTTTTAAACATACATGACTGGCGTACAAATGCTCGTATTCATCACCCAAACATCTGCCCCCACCGGGATTCGAACCCGGGACCTCTCGAGTCGGCGACACCGTGAAACCCGGCGTACAAGCCACTCGGCCACGGAGGTCGTCGGATATAATTGCACCTTGCGGCGTCCTTTTTAGGGTTATGGAACCCTAAGGAATGGTCCTTAAAAGGAAAAAATGGAACCCTTATAGGATCACTTTGTTGTCCGTCCGCCGTCCGTCTGTCAAGATCGTTTTTCTCAAGAACGCGTGGAGGTATCAAACTGAAATTCATATCCTAATACTCTTGTCTACTGTCCCTTGGAGCTGTGAAAAAATCAAACTTCTAAGCCAAAGCAACTAAAAGATACAGCCGTTTATGCCGCAAATTTTCGAAACTCGCACTGGAATCAAAACCTACAGGGTACTTCGCGTGAACTTAGAATCTTGAAATTTGGTACGAAGTAACGTCTTATAATACGGATAAAGGAAAAATTGCAAAAACAGTTAATTTTTAGTTATGTCATATTATAATAAAAAATATTTTTGAATTTTATAAGTTACTACTTCTTTTCTCATGAGCGCGTAGAGGTATTAAATTGAGTTTGTAAGGAACCCTCGTGCGCGAGTCCGTCTCGCACTTGGCCGGTTTTTTCCCAGACTTATACTTATGTTTGATAGAGGATACAAACGAGTCGAATGTTATGTCTTTAAGTTACGTTTGTTTGTACAATCACTTTAATACTTCCGGTTCGGGTATAGCTGCTGGTACTAAAATTAGGACAATTCTAGGCTTCCGTTTAAATGTCCACAGTGAGACCAGAGGAAGTCGAAGTCTACGTTGCGTCGACGTTGTTAAGTATATCAGAAAAGAACTAACAAAAACTAACTAACTAAAGAACAGTTCCTGCTACTGGTCTAAGGACTCAACACTCACTTTCAGATCCTGGAGTCGTTGAGAGAAATCATGTTTCTCTTTAAGGGCTTGAAGTATTATATGGGTTTGCATCATTGATGGCTTCCGTGATTTGTACTGCACGGCCATTTGAGACGTCCCATGGGACACTTTACGGCATAAGTTGTTAATTCTCAACTGCTGGTCCGAATTAAGCTTCCCTCCTGTTCAATATTGCATACCTCACTGAGGCATGGCTTAATGGTCTTCAATTCTAGAACCGACTCCTGGAGTATGGTCTTACTGTAGGGCTGGCGCGGACGGTGCGGTCTCACGTGTAGAAGTGGGTGGCGGGCTGCGGCGCGTTAGCGCACTCCGGTTGAAGGGGCTGTCCATTTTATTTCCATTTGGGGTAAAAATCCGTCATGCCAGGCTCTTGAGTAGGTACTCTTAATTGACAATAGCGTAATGAATGACGTCACCCATTTTTGTATGCAATGTCCACGATGCTAAATATAAACTGTTCCCGGCAAGTAGTTCCTAGCAGTGATTTGCGGATATTTATATCGTTGATGTGATGTAAAATGCTTCAGTGTAACGCAGGAGTGTCGTCGCAAGCGCACAAGTGCTGCTGGAATAATTCGGTTATAGCGTGCGTTGTATTCGTATGCGTTTACCGCGGGTCAGTTACACCCTCATGAGATATTTTTCAAAAGGTTACGAGGATTTCGTGATGGATGGTTGCAATGAGTTCGAGGTGAATATACAATGTGAAATATATATTTATTTCGCTTTAAAAAATATAGCGAATGTTGCTTAAGTATTGAAATATCATAGTTAAAGTTAATTTCGAGGTGTCGGACAAATGTAAGATGGAATTTTAAGGTAACTACGGCTGGTTAAAAGGAATGTGAGAACAAGGTATTTTGGGTTATAAAAAAAGTTTCTTTTGCAATTGCTATCACTTAATAATGCTAACTAGGAGTACCTGCTGGTTTACAGCTAGTAACCTATCCGCATAGTGAATTCTCTGTGTTAGAAGTACATTGTAAGAACAGCTTATCAATATATATTATTGATAAATTAATAAGCAGTTAATGTTGATGATGATTTATATTAAAATTAAGGCAGACAACACACGTAGTTTATTCAATGAATATATATATTTTTATTTTAAACATTAAACACTACATTCGCATTTCTAAAGAAAATTTTACTAGAGAACAAATCTTTAAATATTCAAAAACATTGATCCGAAATTTATTTTATTATCAAACTGCAAAACTAGTAATATTCTGTTTTTTTAAAGAAAAAATAAAAAGTATTTTCCGGTTTGGCATGTCATAAATAATTTAGCTAATAGAAAAAGACGACCGCACTTAGTAGCTTTAATAATTTGTTAAAAAGTAATTATGTAAATTTTGTCGAATAATGGTAATGTAATAAAATGTTAACATATTTCGAGGCAAGAATATTATTGTCTAACATCTAGCAGTTAAATGCTCAAATAAAAATACACAGGAAAGCAAATTATCGGGTCACTTACTTCTACTTCTACTTTCGGAACATAGAAATTTATTGAAATTAATAAATTTCTTAAGTTTTTATTAAAAGTTTTCCAAAGAAGTCTTTTCTCCACTTTCTGTAGGTAGCGTAAGTTTTATAAATTTTGAGAAATTCGAATCAGAGTCAAGATCCTAGCTGGTAACCCGGTTTCTTTGCATCTTTTTTTCATCCCCCTAAATTTTAAGAGTAACCATAAAAAAATTTTTTGGGCAATTTTTTTTTTGTTTTTATTTTTTTATGATACATCATACAAAAATACATGCAACCCTAAATTTTCACCCTTCTACTACCCATATTTTTATGGCGATACGAAGTTCGCTGGCTCAGCTAGTGTTCTATATAATGACAATTTGACTTTTCCACTCTCGAATGAGTCGAAAAGTATTCATTCTTTACATTTGCGAATAACTAACATTAAGAAATTGCAAGCGTTAATATTGTGATGAAAAATCGACTTAACCGTAACAAGTCAACTTGATTCATCTCTCCTTATACCCAGGTAAGATGAAACAGGGGTCGAGGAGAGTTGAAACATATGATTTTAGAAAATTATTAAAGGCTGGTAAATAAAAATGAGGATATAATTTTAAGGTATTCAAGTACGAAACATTTTTTTTTTGATAATATTTTGTAATGATATCAGTTAAGAAGCTTTTCTGTCGCAAAGTTACTTCTTCTGCTGCGAGATCATATATTTCGCGACTCGCCATAACTCTGTCAGGTTTTCTTTTATAATCCGTAGGCATTCTTAAACCAAAATAAACAAAATAAAAATGACGGGTTCCACTCCGGGAGCGCCGGCAGAAGTGAAAACTTCAATATTAACGTTGTGCATTTTTGATATTTTGGAATGGTTAGGGAATAATTTTGCACGCATTGCTTTAATTATCTACTGATAATATATATATATATAATAAATATATAGATAAAGGAACTATAATGTATGTGGTAGAATACAATATTTATTTATTACGCTATCGTACACAAACATGACAATTTATATTACATTAAAAAAGTTTATCTTGTTTATTAAATAAGTTTATCTCTCAGAAAAAACAACTTACATGAATCACGTTTAAGCGCACTTAGCGACATCTATTCTAAAGAAATCAACTTACATGAATCACATTTCAGCGCACCTAGCGACATCTATTGTAAAAAAATGAATTTTGAATTGAATGAATGTGGACGTCCTAGGCAGAGACTTATTATTATAATACGATAAAATAAAATATTACTATGTTTCGTCCAATATATTGAAAGTCAATAACCTTTCCAATTTTATTGTGGTCATGATGCGATCAGCCCACGTGTTTAACCTGACGCGAGTTTATCATTTTTTACCCATACAAAAAAAAAGTGTACAACGCCGGTAAAGAAGTTTTCTTAAGAAAGAAAAATATTTTTTTTTGCTTGTTGCAAAATTATTGACTGCTGTCTGATATGAAATTGGAACGAAACAACCTGTTTCAAATCTCCTCAGTAAGAAAAAACCTCCCAATTTTTATTTAATCCACAATCAAGAACCAAATACTCAGAAATCAATTGTAACAAACATAAATAATAAATAATATAAATAAAAATATATAAAATATAAAAATGTTTTTTTAAGTGTAAGCATGAGTGTAAGTACCTAATTACATTAATTTCGTCGCTATCATTACGTGGTTTTATAGAAAACGAGCATATTTATCGAATCGTAACTGATCCCCAATCAAAAAACTATTTTATTTAAGTAAGTAATCCCAGACAGACACAATCTTATCATGACATAAGATTTATTAAGCTAATTCATCATATGATAGGTAACTTACCTTTGCATTCACACACTGATAAGTCGTTAAATTGGCACAAACAGGCTAGATTGGATGTCATATAATTAATATCAAATTGAAAAATATATATATGAAACATAAATTAATCATATTTCAGGTATTTTATACAAATGTAACTATTTAATATATCCAGGCATTTTTGAAAGGATTTTTCACTACGAGCGCGATGGATACGTCACGTATATAGTGTAACGGAGGCGTGGTCGCAAACTTATTATATTACATTATATTATATATATATATATTATGTTATATAATTTCACAATTTAACAAAATCACATCAAGATGAAGCTGCGGGGGACCAAATTAGTTGCGAAGTAATATTGTCATATCATAAAGCAAACACTGGGTATTAAATTCTCTCAACCAAGTATATTCATTGCAGACATATTTGCGTTTAAGATTGTATGACAAATATATCGCAATTAAAACTTAGATAGCAATTGAAAATTTCGCCTGAAAAAACGTGACTGGCGTGACGTAACGTGATTTTCTGACGAAGGCTCGCCATTCTCAGGTAAACTGTCAGTGTAAACAGTAACAGATAAACGACAGATAGGCTGTGGGCGGGAGTTGGGCCAGTCAGTAACGCGTGCGCGACACAGCTGATCGGTGGAGCGCCCGCGCGAACCTGACCCTGTTTCGCAACCGACCGTCATCTGCTCCGGCAGTCACCCACAAACCGAGCCATGAGCACCCGCCAACTCCGCCGGCTAGCCGCCGCTACTAGGCCGGCCTTCCAATCTCCATGCCATTGCAACAGGCATTACAGTCAAGTGAGACCCGTCTATATAATAGATCGCCATGATGTGAGTGTCCCTTCCTTGATCGCCTGGTGGTGGTTTATTGTAGCATGACGTCACTTCTGCCCCCTTTAACAAAGAAAACATTGTACCAAAATAATGTATTTTCCTTACAGAAATGGCGGAACTCAGCTCCTAGTTTCTACGCCGTGCAATCCATCGATATGAGGTGAGCTTGAACCACACACTTCTAATAATAAACCGTAAACTGAAATTGTCAATTAATATCAATGCAGTTTTAACGCGAAGTTTCTATTGGAAATAAATTGTTGTTAATGACCTATATCAACTCCTATTGATCTAAATTAATGTTGCGCCCGTGAATAATCGCTGCCGGCGTCTCGCCGCGCCGGCAAAGTACTTGTCCAATTCACCCTTGACACTTCAAACTATTATTTACATACTCCCATACCATAGTAGATCGTCTTCGTTTTAACGTGTATGAATATTTATGCTGCATTAATTTCAACCATCAATAACAAAATTGGTGGATACCTAACTTGGTACTTATTGAGAAGATTACGACAGTTCAATGACCCACTACCGTAGCAACGACATTCAGTAAAATCAATACAATAACTCCCTATTCGATTCACAAAAAAGAAAAACTTAACTTTTTGTACAAAACGGAAATGTTGTACACAATCAATTACTCCGCATTTTATTACGAAATTAAACCAATAAATATTTTTCATGCAGAACATACTCGTTCGTTCACAACATTGATCCCATAATGTGAGTACAACAAATGAAAAGTAATTTAGGTTTTTGCATGGTTTTTGTTTGCTGTTAATTCGTTATTTATTTTTTTGTATTTAAATACCGTTATTTTCGCGATTCCGTAAGTAGTCTCACCACACGTATTGATGGATTGTCAGGTAATTTCAGATTGTCGTACAGTCAAAAAATCAACTTATACTTACGACATAGTAGTAAGCAAAGTTATTTAAAACAGGGTTCGAATAATTCGTAGCTAGTTTAAAACATTAAAACCAAGACGGGACTAACACTCGTATATAAAAAGGTAATTATTACTACACATGGCACTACTATTATATGCCTCTACTGAGATTCGAACCTTTGCCTTTAGCCTTTGAAGTGGCAGGCGGACAGCTACCGTTGTACTAGCCAATCGTACTAAATGATTTTACAATACTTTTTGTGTACTGTTATATTGCGCATAGAACCAACAATATAATGGAGAAGAATTTAAAAAAACGCTACGCTATGAAGATAATTTCTCTAGAGCTGTTGCATTATTTCTATCGAAACTCGCTAATACCTCTACTAAAGCTTAATACTGAGCGCCTCCCCCCCCCCCCTCCTCCTCCTCTAAAAGCTAAACTATTGGCTTGAAAACCCTTGGAAAAATTCATGCTAATAGTGCTTTTCATGAACTTTTAAGGAAAGTCATAATGGTTAAAAAAGATTAGTTACTATAAGAGTAATAGTCGTTCAACTAATGTATTAGAAAATTTCTGCCGTAATAAAAAAATCCTTAGAAGAAAACATTAAAAGTGTCTTAGACGAAGTAATTGCTTAAAATATAGACTCTTTCCAAAATATATTGTGGTGAAGACGAGCAACTACGGAACTTTACACTACGCGTGGCCGGTTTTTTATTGTATTATGTAATTTAAAGCTTTTTGTTTTATGTGTGTTTTCGGCTTCAAATCTATTTTTTATAATTGTATTATTGGTCGTTGTTATTAAAACTGTGTAGTTTGATTACACGCTATTGAAATAGTATTAGGATTTTATTTTATTTTTTCTGTGTTTTTATTGCTACTTTGTAGACTAATAAATGAAGTGTCATTGTAAGCATGTTTAGTGTGCTGATTTTAGTAGTTTTTTTTATTATATCGTTAATTTATTACTTTGGCTATGGCATACCTCAAGTGGTTTTAAGTATAAAAAGCATGGTACGAAAACGTTCTGATTAAGTGAAGAATTTATCTCAGATACAGATTTTGTTTATCAAATCATTAAAATAGTATAATATTCACCAAGGGGATAACGCAGTGTATTATGTCACGGGCAGCACATTGAATTCTAAGCGAAATGAAGGATCTTTCCGTTCGGGAATTATGGTAAGAATCCTGAATGAAGCGAAATATTCAAATCTGTCCAAGACTAAGACACGTTTATCTCCGAGGAGCATATTCTACTTTATACACCTACTGGTTACTTACTTTTGATTGAATGTATTATTTCTTTCTTATGTTAGCCTCACAGTAGTCCCGATTCTGGTCTGGCTGGCGTGATTCTCTTAACCTAAACTTGACAACAGTGTATACTTGTAAAGCGAGACTGATGTTAAATTTTGTTTTAAGTTAGATAATCATGCTAGAATGGACACTCTAAAATAAGAAAGTAATAAAAAATATAATTAAAAGTAAGTCTTAAAAAGCACAAGGTTTGTAGGGTTCCAAGTCATAATGCGTGAGGTAGGTACGAGAAGGGTATAAGCTACAGTATAGACAGACAATAAAAGTACAGTTGATAGATTTTTTTTTAAATTAATGTCTTCTTACTGGCGCTTGACGCTTAGCTGTAAAAGTCAAATTGTGACTACCGATGAATTTACAGCACCTACGTATATGGTAACCACCCCCGATGTAGTCATAGTTATAATAGTGTAAATCTAAAGAAAGCAGTTCCATGCTTTAAAATAACAAAAATTGCTATAAATTTCTTTTTTGTTTTTGCAAACATGTTAGAATCACTGCAAGGCCGTAGGAAATGCTATAAAAAGTCAAGAGCGTTTGTAAGGATTTTTCAATTGTTTTTGGCTCTTAAATACTACCCAATTTCGATGAGTAGGTACTTACTCCCGCAGATGAATACTCTGAAGATGGATACTCTTTCTCTGCAATAGCATAGTTACATTACTTAAAAAATTCGTAGATCGGCTTCAAAATTAAAAAAATAGCGACTATCGGGATCCCAAATACAATGCGTCATCAAAAACTCTTGGCATTGTGATTTCAGCCAAAAATAAACGTCAGGTGATCGGAAGAAACCTCACTAACAACGCACAAACATAAATATACATACGTTGTAGTGGACACACCCGCTGTTACGTCACAAATATAATAATAGAGTACTCATGCGCATCAACATCTTAACGTTTTAGCAAAACATATTTTCCAAGAATCTATTCCAGGCTCTGATTTGTATGTGCTTCCAATTAACAACTTAAGCGTCTGCATGACGATAATACAAAACTTAGCAACTTAGCAAAACTTGGCAACTTTAAAGAGCTCTTGAAAATATAACACCATTGCCATAGTATAATTCAAGTTTAACTTTTCACTTTACAGGGTTAGAGAAGGAACTCACAAAAATGCTGACGATGTTCTATTTGATATGTTCAAGAATGAGGACACGGGTTTATTGCCAGTTGGAAAGTTTTTGGCCGTAAGTGGAGAAATATAATGTTTTTAAATATAGTAATATTATGGAAATCTTTTGCGAAACAAAACGGCGTAATGACCGACTGGTGTTAATATATGATTGACATCTTCTTAGTGTTTCAAGAGGAATAATGGAGATTACACGAATGTTTATGCAGATAGTATGCAGTAGTGGATATTATTGTGTCTTTATTTAAATCATTTGTATTACCTGCTTATAATTCTTTAAATATTTTGTATCTAAAAATTAAACCTGTCACATCTTCCAAAACATACTAGGTACTTAGCTTCTCTTATAACAAAACAGCTGTTGTTCTAAACTTATTTTAAATTATTATTTTTTCTAGGCCCTGAGAACAACTGGTATAAGAAAAAACGATGCCAGAGTGAAAGAAGTAATGCACAATTTGTACAAAGTCCACAAAGAACAGAACTTCGAAGGCGGGTCACCGGAGACTCTAAAGCTCGATAGAAAAACTTTTAAAGAGGTGATTGCACCCAACATTGTACTGATAACTAGAGCCTTCCGAAGCCAATTCGTCATACCAGACTTCCAAGACTTTATTAAGGATATAGAAGAAATGTACTGGGCAGCCAAAAGCAATACTGATGGGAAAGTTGCAAGCTACATACCACAACTAGCAAGAGCTAGCACTGAAAATTGGGGCGTGAGTGTTTGCACAATAGATGGCCAAAGATTCTCCATTGGTACGTAACAAACAATGTAGAGTTTTCAACATTCTTTTACTTAGTATTTTTGGAGTTTACTCCTTAAGAATCGATTTGCATATATAAGGGGCCCGGTATGAGAAAAATGTGAGGAGTAAAATCTATCGATGAATGACCTCGTAACGTTTTTGGTGCGCATCCTATGTTGCGCAACTTTGACAAACAAAGATGACGGGTTGACATTAATAAAAATTTTAAAATCTGAACTGAATTTAGATATTGTTTCTGATAGAGCAATGGGGATGGTACAACCATTAATGCGGTATTTTCAAGATTACGTACGTCCATGTGTCTTATTTTAGTTACCATAAACCACTTGTCACTGTTATTAATAATGCAGACAATGTTGATTTAATTAATATATAAAAAAATGATAATAGTCTGATAATAATAATAACATAATTTATCAACATTCCTAATGATATATTTATGCACATCTGAAATTGACTATTGTAAAAAGTTTAATGTAAAATATTTCGTCGATTAGTTATAATAAATGTATATGAAATGAATAAATATATATTTATAAATGTATATTATTTTCATTAATTTGTTAATTTACCCTTTCATATAGTATCAATCTTTTTTAAGTTAAATAAACTCTTTTTGCGTCTGAACTTAAGGAGTAAACTCCAGTCGTGCGTCGGAGGTGACACACACATTTTTTTTAATATACTACTTTTCTTATTTATCGTTTGATTGCGTAGGTGACGTGACAGTTCCATTCACACTACAATCGTGCAGCAAGCCACTGACGTACGGGATGGCGCTTGATACTCTGGGCCCAGATGTAGTACATAAATATGTTGGCACCGAGCCAAGTGGAAGGAACTTCAATGAACTCGTCTTGGACTATAACAGTGGGTATAAAATACATTTATACGAACCACTTGCACACATACTAATGAAGTACCAACTAATTACCTTATCAATATTTTATTTCATTTAAAATATAAAATGTTAAGAAATTAACCAGATGGCAAATTATGGTTTGTACCATGATTATTTTCAATAACATGTTCTTATCACGACCTTATGACGTGAAGTTTGTACGTGCTAAATAATCCTTATTAAAATGTTGATTCCGTGATAATGTCAGTTATATAAATAAAATGAAGTGTGGTAAATTCTTAGGTATTTAAAATTTTTAACCTACACAAATCAGTCATCAGTCGCGGAGAATGTAATCAATAAGCCTTGGTCAACACAATCAATAATAAATTGCTTTGTCTGTCAACAGTGAAACCACACAATCCCATGATCAACGCAGGGGCAATTTTAGTTTGTTCATTATTGAAAACCTTGGACAAACCTGAAATGACTCTCGCCGAAAAATTTGATTACGTCATGTCATTCTTCAGCCGCTTGGCCGGTAATGAAGTGTTAGGTTTCAACAACGCAGTATTTTTGTCTGAGAGAGAGGCAGCTGATAGAAATTATGCGCTGGGATTTTACATGCGTGAACACAAATGCTACCCAGAGAAAACGAACTTTAAAGAATGCATGGATTTCTATTTTCAGGTAACTTCATTATATACTCCTTTCACAAACTTTAAATATATTCATACATCATTTAAATGCTATTCAACATACATAAAGTTCTGTTTTTATTTATTTTTAAGCATTTAACTGCTAGATGTTTAAATCTAAATACATAAAGTTCCGAATAAAAATATGGATAAACACATTCTGTACTTTAAGCATTACTACAAGCATTGATGAATACCTAAATAATTTTGATTTCAGTGTTGCTCCATGGAAGCGAACTGTGATATTATGTCAATAATGGCAGCCACATTAGCAAACGGAGGAATATGTCCCATAACAGATGAAAAGGTTCTGGGGCCAGATTCTGTTCGTAACGTGTTATCGTTGATGCACAGCTGCGGAATGTACGATTATTCTGGGCAGTTTGCCTTCAAAGTTGGTCTACCTGCAAAATCAGGCGTGTCCGGCGCGATGCTCATAGTTGTGCCCAACGTCATGGGAATTTGCACGTGGTCGCCTCCTCTCGATCCACTTGGAAACAGCTGTCGAGGCCTTCAATTCTGTGAGGTAGCTTATCATCATTTACAATTTTTTTATCAACTTGACTTAGGGTCTTGACTTTACCCCGTTCGTGAGGACGGCGTGGTTGATTCCCAACAAGGAGCCCACGTCGTCGTCACTGGCAAGGAGAGGGCACATCCCGGAGTTTTAGTGGGTAGGGCTCCCCCATCCCGACCAGCCATTGAGCCAGCTTTAGGTTTGGCTAAATGGGTGGGCGGGAGGTGGGGGGAAGAGTCCCACATAGCCTCGTCGCCCTACCCAGCGGCGGGGTATGCGTTAAGCAAAAAAGGGGCACGATTTTAGCAAAAGGTATTCTTTTATTTTCATGGTCGCTTATCTATTTTGATTTTTTTTATTAATATTGGAATATTATATAATAGTAATTCTGATTTTTGTTACTTTTTCAGTCACTGATAGAGCGGTTCAATTTCCACAAATATGACAATATTCGTTATGCAAGTCATAAAAAGGATCCTCGACGCTACAAATTCGAGTCCACTGGCCTTAGTATCGTCAATTTATTGTTTTCTGCAGCCAGCGGTGATCTCAGCGCCTTAAGAAGGTATGCCTAGTTTATGTTTATTATGTACCTATTTTTTTATATATAAGACATAATGGTTAACCTTCCAATTTTATCAGTACTTCTTCAGATCCGTCTCACCTTCCCGTACCAGTGGAATCTTCAAAATAGATAACTTCGAACAAGTAAACCATTTAAAGAAAAGTTTACTAGAAAAAAACCACGCGGCCCAGGCAGCAGACGGGACGGGGCGGTGCCTGGTCCGCGTGGATTATTTTCTAGTAAACTTTTCTTTAGATTTAAACATCTGGCAGTTAAATGCTTAAAATATATAAAAACATAAGTAAACTATTTGTTCAAGTGCTTAATCAAATAGCTAAAGCACTAGAAATAAAATATAATTGTTTCTTTACGTCTGATTTCGTTGAATCTATTTCAAGATTACTTAATTAATCAATTTGCCTAAAATAGCAAGTAGGACCTACCTATCACAAATTGCATTCAAAAAAAGCAAGTATCACTAATTGCATTCAAAATTCATGTATGATCATCAATCTGCTTTTCAAGTATAGATAGAACGTAATTACGGAATTGTAGTTACTACTCCTATTCCTTTTTGCATTTGACGAACATAATTGTTTTAAATCTTTTCTCAGGCACCATCTATCCGGCATGGACATGACTCTATCAGACTATGATGGGCGTACGGCGTTGCATCTGGCTGCGGCAGAAGGTCATCTCTCGTGCGTTGATTTTCTTTTAGCTCAATGCGGCGTGCCTCACGACCCCCGCGACCGCTGGGGTAGCCGCCCGCTCAATGAGGCTGAAACCTTTGGCCACACAGCTGTCGTACAATACCTTAACGAATGGGAGCGAACGCATCCTTTAGACAAAGAAAAAGATGCAACAAACGCACCTTCATCGGTAGACGAAATTCTCGAAGTGAAACCAGACGCTAATGATGCTGTAAAAGATCCGAGCATTCAAGAGATTGTTTCGAGGAACGGAGATAAAGTACAGTAGAATCTCATCTTAGGAAAGAGCAATCTCATTGATAAGAGCACATTAGATCTCTAATAAATTGTTTTAGGTAGAATATAAAAATTTACACAGACTTTAAATCAAATATTGCATTTCGAAATTTAAATCGATAATGTTAGATGATAAAACTATAATTGCCATCTCAAAGAGAGTACAGTAGTTTTTTAAATTATTTAAAAAAAATGCTTTGACTATTATGCTGCTCATTTGTAAGGGCATTCGTAGAAGTAATGATGCTTACAAAATATTAAACAAAAAACCCAAAGGTTATAATAACATTCCATTAAAAGATAAAATAAGAGAAGTAGGGCATAGCTGAATTCCCGTTCGGCTTGAGAGCCCGTCTGGAGTAAAATAAATCTACTTTGTGGAGGTGTTGCTATTAGTGGCTAAATTTCCAGGGTTCCACAGAGTAGAGAGTTGGGTTCAGGCTAGAGTGATATACCTACTATACTACCTTCAACTATTTTCGCGACTGAACTCCACTTACACTCAACTTCGGTAGGGTAGGGTAATTTGCTGCGCCTTGTATAAAAAAGTCCTTAGGATTTAATATGTAATGTTTAACAGAATATAAAATGTTTATTCTAAACAATATCCTACACAGGAATGTTATGTGTTACCAGACAATAAATAAATATTTAAATATTAAAATTTATGATTATGATGTTACTTCTATATTAGTAAGTGTTGTCCAAATACAATTATGGTGTCAATTATTTTTTTGTTTAATTTCTGTCTAATAGGTAGGTAATCTAAAAAACATCGTGCAATTTAGTACCTATAGGTACTACCTAACTACTTATAAAAAAATGCCTATGAATTTGTACCTGACAAAAAAAACAGTTTACCCCTATATTACTTTCATCTACAGCAGTCACAAGTCTATCAACAGAAAATCTATACACAGTTTAATATGTGATTTTATGGTCTCATCATCAGTCTATAGTCTCAGACCAAATAAAAAGTAAAGACGGAGTCTGCCGAACCAAAAAGTGAAGCCGGTTTTTTATGTATGTAGTGCATTAGCCAGTGTTGCCATAGTCATATAAAACACCCCAATATTAGAAAAATGTAATAACGTTATTTCATAACGTTATTACATTTTTATAACGTTATTAATAACGTTATAAAATATTAGAAAAAAATATCGTAAGCTTATTCTCTAAACCTCTCGTGAGCCAAAGGTCATGCGCCGTTCTCACCTACAAGTGCCGGACTTCTTTATGGACCGCCCGCCCGCTGGGTGGGAACGATTGCATTGTTCTGCCGATTTCTCTGTTATTTTGTAAAAATACCCTTCACAAACGTATATTTGGATTCTTCATAAAATTTTCAATAAAACAGTGTGTACACAATGCGTCATGTCTATAATTTATTTTAATTACATTATGGTAAACTCAGGAAAGATAAAAAAAAGTCGTTTAAATAGGTAAAATGAGGTGTATTTTCAAAATTTGTAAATTATAAATCCAGGTTTTTGTACATATAGAATGTACTATATATGAATGAATGTATAAAATAACTTACCAAATACAATTATAAAATATAACACGCAACAGAAAAAAAAGGGTCGTGTTGCAAGTGTTGATAAAAACAAATGCGAGATCCAAGTGCCTTGATTTATGTGTTGACGTTTAATTATGTTGGATTGATTATTTTACTTTAGTTACAAGTCTCGGATGGAATAGGTTTGTTCATTTTATAGTTTCAAGCACTCGCAACAAGGCACTTGAAATCGCTTACAAATCAGTCATCTCAACTTTATGTCGATAAAACGAAAAGCATATACAAACGTTGATAAATAGTTTCTTTTATTAAAATGTACATGAAATTTTCTATAGAATACACAAAATATAATCACTAGTTCCTATACAAGAACATAATAAAAAAAATCCACAAACATCGCGAATTTTGGGTCAAAAAGGCCATTAAAAAGTACAATACAAATAAAATTACAAATATATTATTATTTTACAAATCGTCGCTCTGAAAATGAGTCGAACAAACCACGCTGCGGGAAGCTGGTTGCCACAATGGTGCATTTCTACTCTTACGAATGACTGCAATCCACTTCTCTTTTAGATCTTGATCTCGATTAGGAAATCTTAAAAAGAACGTATATTAAATAATGTGTATTACATCCCAAAAAATTTATACGAATACATAAAGAAAAAAGATGTTTCGTGTAATTGTTTATCCATGCATTACAATATTCGAATAATTTAAAAGTATGCCACACAATGTATATAATAAAATAACGTTACGTTATATTTCACGCTACCCAACAAAAGGGTAAAACTGTAACGAATAATCATGGCAACATTTCATTCAGGTTTTGTTTAAAAAGCGACAACCTCAAATTTGATTTTGATTAATTGAAAATAGCAGTTTATAACTTTACTTACGTATGAAATGTGATTCCATCCTGTTTTTTATTCTTGGAAGATTGGTTTTTACACGTTTTTACTACACAATTTTTTTCTAATAAATATTGTTATTTATTATTACGTCACACTCCGCGCGTCGGGATAGCTCGACTGAGAAGCCAAGGCGTAGTTTCGTTGCATGTGTGTGCGTGTAACTGTGTATGTACACGGCGAGGCGTAGTTTTATCGGCTTCACTTTTTGGTTCGGCAGACTCCGTCTATACTTTTTATTTGGTCTGAGTCTATAGTTCTGTAAATAAAATTCTCGTGTCACGGTGTGCGTAATGAATTTTCGTGAAATTCTATATGCATATTCAGTAGGTCTGAGAATCGGACAACATCTATTTTTCATCCCCCTAAATGTAAAGAGTGGTCCACCATATTTTTTTATTTCTGGTAATTTTTTTTTCTGTTTATATTTTTTTATGATACATCGTACAAAAAGACATACCACCCTAAATTTTCAGCCTTCCACCTCCCATATTTTTATGCTGATACGAAGTTCGCTGGCGCAGCTAGTAGTTCTATATAAATATTATACCTATGGGAATGACTGCCGGCGGAGGCGGCCTTCCCTTTTCTTGAGGAACGCAGGCGCGAAGAAACGAAACACAGAACTTCGTAGAATATATTTAACTAGCTGACCCAGCGAACTTCGTACCGCCCTAAAAAAATAGGGGTTGTCCAGCGGACAAAATTGTGAATCTAAACCATTTTCAGATCCCCACACAACACACACAAAAAATTTCATCAAAATCGGTCCAGTCGTTTAAGAGAAGTTCAGTGACATACACACTCACAGAAGAATTATATATATAAAGATGTATGCACATTCACAATACAAGATTGAGTTACGTATTTTAGGTACATAGTATGAACAGTTACTACGCGACACGTCTGTACCGAAGAGTCGCGCCTGATAGCCGGAGAGGTGGCTACGAAAAAGTGAACTGATAAGGTGTAGTAACGAATTATACATATAACCTCTCTTTGGTAGCTGATAAGTACAGAGCGAGGCCCGTCAGAACTCTCTCCCGGGGCGGAAGGCGTGGGTGGGCGGTCAAAATCGTAAATTTTCAATAAGAAAAAAATGATAAGGTGCAGTTATGAAATTTGGTAGAGTTATAGTTTTTAACTGTAGGAATCTAGGAAAATTATTGTCAGAGGTCTAGGTCGGGGCTTAAAGACTGTCAGAAGTCGACAAAGTTGTCAAGAAATTGTTTAAATTTAAACCACAAGGTGTAGTTCTGACAAATGCATTTATATATTATTTGTTGCTTATCGAACCTGTATATAAATTGTCAGAAGTCTTAATAATGGCTAAGTACATAAAAATTGATGCTATAGTCAGAAGTTGCTGAAGCGGCTATCGCGACGGAAAGCAACGTTTCGAATCTAGTTTTGAGTTAAAATAACAAGGTGCAGTTCTGACAATTGAATTTTTATATTATTTATAGTTTACCAAACCTGCACATATATTGTGCAAAAATTGACGATTTCATTGTCAGAAGGCTAAATAATGGCTAAGTACAGAAAAATTTATGATATAGCCAGAAGTTGCTGAAGCGGCTATCGCGATGAAAAGGAACGTTTCAAAATTAAATAACAAGACGCAGTTTATTGTTTTTATTATTTACACTGTTATTTCAATAAATATGCAATGACAAAAGGTTAAGCGAGGGAGACAAAAAATATAAAAACTGTGATACCGAGTAATTGCTGACTTAGACGACAAACTTTAAAAAAATATATACGTACTCAAAAAAAAGTAAATAAATAATATGAAAAATGAAATAAAATCGACAATTTTTGCCGAGAATTTACAGGTACATAGTGTACCTAGTGTAATAAGAAGTTACTGTAGTGTAATAAGAAGTCACTGAAGCATAACAACCTTTTTTTTTATTTCAGATAATTTTATACACATTTGGCCATTTTTTTTTAATATTTAATTTTTTGTAATTTTAAGAAAGTCAAACTTAGATGGAGTAAAAGGTAAGTATATTTATATAAGGAAGTATAATTATTAATTTATTTAAATCTTGTTTTTTTTGACAACAATAACAACATTATGTCCTCTTTGAATTTGGCATGATAAGTCACTGCTGTTATCTCTTTTGAAATCCTTTCGGAAAATTATGCTTGCGAGAATAATATAATCTCATCCAAGCCCAAACAAATAAATAAATCTGGCAAGAACATAATTGTGTCCAGATAGTTTTTATTGTCATGTTAAAAAATATAAAATAAAAATTATTTATTTCGGACAACAACAGCCCATATCAATCATAAAGCATTATTAAAGCATCGTAAAGTAGTATGTTATGAGAACTACTTAGCGCAAAATAAATGTTGACATTCCAAAAACTAAAATAGAATTCATTTTTTAATGCTCTCGGCAAAACTTATCGATTTTAATTCATTTTTCATATTATTTATTAACTTTTTTTTTTGAGTACTTTTTTTAGGTTCTCTCGGCATCATAGTTTTTATATTTTTTTATATCCCTCGCTAAACCTTTTGTCATTGCATATTTATTGAAATAACGGTGTAAATAATAAAAACAATAGATAGCCAAAACTGCATCTTGTTATTTAATTTTGAAATGTTCCTTTTCATCGCGATAGCCGCTTCAGCAACTTCTGGCCATATCATCAATTTTTCTGTACTTAGCCATTATTTAGCCTTCTGACAATATATGTGCAGGTTTGGTAAGCTATAAATAATATAAAAATTCCATTGTCAGAACTGCACCTTGTTATTTTAACTCAAAGCTAGATTCGAAACGTTGCTTTCCGTCGCGATAGCCGCTTCAGCAACTTCTGACTATATCATCAATTTTTATGTACTTAGCCATTATTAAGACTTCTGTCAATTTATATACAGGTTCGATAAGCAACAAATAATATAAAAATGCATTTGTCAGAACTACACCTTGTGGTTTAAAGGAGATTGCTCAGCTTCCATACATGTTTGGCCTAAAGACCAATAATCATGAAAAATTGTTTCCTAGATTCGAAATTATATATAAATTACTGTAGAAACGAATATTATTGACGGACACCCCTGAGAACTTCTATAAACCATATACACTGAACATATTAAAATAATGAAAAACAAATAAGTTATATAGTAAACTAGGGAAATCAAGCTAAGTACCGAAGTTATGGATTAGATTCAGGTATATAGAGCATGTAGATTAACAGATAGTTGCCTGTTTTTAAAGTTAATGCTTAAGAGTAACTTTTAAAATCAGGTGTATAATGAGCCAGCAGTACTTCTTAATGCATTTATTAGTAAATCACAACAGAAATCACTCTACATAATAAAATTAATATATTTTCTCTCTAACACTCAAGCGCGTTGCTATGATACTCACAGCTCGACTCTACCGCGCAAGCGTGCAATTCGTAGGGTTGACGAACCTATATGGGGATGACCTAGGGTTGTTACACACTCCCCCTCTAGTTCGAACCTAGCGCCCTCGCGTTCGGACTAGCGCCTAATGTCCCCACGGTCTTCTGCACCTATTGTCTTCGCGGCCTACCACGCCTACGTCTTTCCCTAACTGGAGACT